TGCCACGGCATCGCCAGCTTGGGCCTTCATATATGCTTCGATATATCTGCCGATAAGGAGAAAAAGAGTCAAGAAGACCACTGAATCGAAATAGGACATGCCTGACCCACTCCCTTCCATGGACCCGTCCGCTGGCATGGCTGATGTACGCGTTGCGGCAATGATGAGTTCTGCGATCGACGCAAAGTATGCGATGGATGTTCCAAAAGAGATTAGCATGTTCATACTGCCGAATCGATAAAATCTCTTGAAAATAGGAACTTGACTTCCCGGCCTCCACAGCGCGCGTAACTCCTTGTATGTGCGCCGGTGGAAAAGATTTGCGGCGAAAAAGTAAACGGGAGTGGCCATAATGCAATTAGCCCACTCTGCACGTGTAACCCCCGCGCGCTCTGCCATGAGATATTTATACCCCGAATTGTCATGGGGGACGAGATTCATGTAGACAATACCGATGATAAAGGCAGGAATAGCCACCACAGCAGATAAGCCAACGCGATATAGGATATGGCGCTGTTCTCGTGCCACCATCTTTCTGGACCGCTCTTCGAGGGTTGGGGGGTGGTGAACCGAGACTTCGAAAGAAGGATCAGTGTCCTTCACTGCTGATAACAATGTCCTCACTGTGAAGTGCGGTGGGTTTGGAGTGTATGACACCGTCAAGATAGGATCTTTCAAAGTTGGCATGGTCTCGATGGTCACCGACTTCACGCGCTTCATTGCCTGTACGACGCGATCGGGACACCGCCCGCAATGCATCCCGTCAATGCGAACTGGAATCGTGCGGTCTGAACCTGTCTCGGGGTGGGACTCAGCGGTAGACAACGTGTCGAGTCTGGCGCCGTAGCCAACCCCTTCAATGGTGGTGGAGATGTCGTCGACATGATCCTTGCCTGCAAAGTAAACTGAGGCAGCATGGTTGATTAGGCTCACGTCTGCTTTCGAGACGTAATCCAAGTCTTGAAGAGCCCTTGTGATGTTCCCGATGCAGGAACTGCAAGTCATGCCGTCTATAGCGTACGTCGCATGCCACAAGTCGGCAAGGGCGCTTTTGTTGGGTGGTCGAGATGCAAAGTATTCTTGAACCGCGTCAAGGGACGCCGAGTAACCAACATCTTCAATCGCATCGATAATCTCTTTGACACGATGTTGCACGTCTTCCCCATCAAATATCACTACGGCGCTGTGAGTGATGAGACTAACATCGGCCGATCGAACCCAGACACGCTCGTTGAGTGCTCCGGTGATGGCACCGACACATGAGCTACAGGTCATGCCTTCCACCACAAAGTTGGCTTTGGACTGCTTGGGTACGTCTGGGAGATGGTCGACAACAAGGGAAAAACTCTCAACCTCTTCTGTCGCACATTTCGAACTCGGCTGACATTGTTGGCAGTGCTCGAGGTGGCGGCTTCTCTTGTCCGCGTCGACCTCGGCGATATGGGAACGCCATCGGGAAAGAGCGTATTCAAATGATGGCGGCTCCAGACCTTGGTGCAAGTTGGATGGCAGGTCTCTTTGCGACGAGGTTGGATCTGGGACAAGGTCAAAGATGTCATAACCGGCATCATCGAGAGCTTGGGCGATGGTGGTGATGTCAAGCGAGCGTGAATGCCTCACTGTGACCGTGTGCGAGACAATTGACACCTGGACAGAATCCGGCGCAGGTCGCAGCCTGGAAAAGATGGATTCGATGTGCGACGCGCAGGTCGGGCAGTGCAGGTTGGAGATGAGAAAGGTGGTCTGCATCAGTAGACCACCCAAGGGGTTTCGGCGACCCAGGTACTTCATCTTTGAATTGTGAGGAGATTGGCACGTCTGGAAGAACTGGACGAAGAATGGGATTCGACGAGTTGATGTGGCGGCCATATCGTTGGGTCTGGAGACCCTCTTATGTTTGCATATTGGGGTAGCCGGTTGCTCCCCCTCCTGGAGCCACATGCCGATGAGCGCTTTTCGCGTAAAGGTGACTCAAGCTCCTGGACACAGGGGACAGGCCGGCGTTAATATCGCACGCCCAGCTTGGGGAGTCGATCGTCGCCCAAGGGGCCTTGATGCTAACCATAATCACCAGTTGAAACGATTCTCCATCGCCCAAGCGCCGAAGGTCGTGAACCACACCCCGAAAAGATTCGAGCTTCAAAGCTCCCAAGGTCATCCATCACCAATTAGCGTTCATACTGCGTTTAGCTGCCGTATGTCAGAATCGAAACAAAGCTGACTAAAACTTGGGCGCATAAAGGCCTCAAGAAGATCCATGGCTGTAGCATTCTGGCCAAGAACAACCCTTTCCTACCCAACGGAACAACGCCCCTGTTTCTCATCCCTTCAATACTTGTGTTCTCAAGTAAGCGAATATACTCTCCTCTTTTCGGCCTGCCATCTGCAGCCTGTCTTGCACGCAATGATGGGCTTCATGAATCGCCAAAATCATATAAAGACGCAATGAGACCAACGAGCGCATCCCGTGAGTCAACACGTTTCCTGACATCCAGATCGTTCATTGACAGCGAACGTCTCCATCACATCAGTATGAGCCAAACATATCCTAACATACTCTACTCACCTTTGGTCTCTGCCTCCCGACGATTGCTCCAATCTCGCTCGCTTGGAGCTCGAAGAAACACGCGATGCGTGCGTGAGGCATTTGTGTCCACACCCTCTTCTGAAAATCATCCACCAGATCTTGCAGCAGCTCATTGCCCGGGTCGAGGATATGGAGGGGCTCGCTTTCGATATCTTCTTCTGCAAACTCTCGTGCCGCCGCCTGCACCATTTCGCTTTGACTCATTCCGTCCGCCCCGCGGAACGGCGTGCCGAAGAACACCAGCCCTCTGACCGCATCTAACACGCCGGGCCACTCCTTACTGTCGTGGTAGGCGTCGCATACAGCCTACTTCAGGATCAGCTAACGTTTCTCCTTTTGAATGCGAACCGACCTTTAGGACGATGAGCCCGCCGAAGCTATACGCAATAAATACTAACGGTCGATCCACGCAGCTCTTCTCCTATCAGTCCACTCCACGTCCAGAAGCTTATCTCTTTTTTACCTTTCGCTTCCATCTCAGTGAAAAAAGAAGCCTTGGTGCCACCGTCCGAGCCGATTGTTCTATCGCGTCCGGTCCGAATCAGTCCGATTTGTATCCGTACCGCATGATGCGTGCGTTTAGTATCACTACCGGTAGCATCTTCTCCTCTTGAAGCCAGTTGACCCAACGGTCCTCACCACCCTCACCGCGTTTCTTGCTCCTGGTGTCGCCGGGGTGCGCTCCGAGGCCGTGGACGGCGACGATACTGCAGCACGTTAGCGAGATGGAGCAGTCATGCCGGATAATGCGCTCACTCGATAATCGTCTTTCCATCTTGGTCCGGGCTCGGTGTCGGCTCCCGCAGCACCTTCAATCCCGTATCGTCGTCTGTGGTTGGTCGCACCTGCGGAGGTTAGTGCTTCAAGTAAAAATGTAAGGCTGAAGAAGATGGATGATACCATGATTGGTCCAACAATAGCACGCTTATACTTAAAAAAAGCAATCGTCGTCTGGTTGCGTAGGACGGATCTGTTCTCAGCAAACACTACTGCCTAGAAGGTACCTATTACTCGTCGACTTCGGCTTCGGCTTCAGCTTCAGCGCCGTGCAACCGCTTCCTTCTATCCCTGGAGGTGAGAAGTCTATCGAAGCCAGGTTAGAGGAATTGGTAATATGATTTCATTGCTGAAGGCCGTACCGCTTGGAGATCATCACTTGTGTTGTTGAACACCAAACAGATGGAACAAGAACACGACATTGGTATCGAAATCAGCTTCGTCCGGAAGGTATTTGTGAAAATGAGTGCAAGGCTGATTTCCTTCACGATGCATTCGCTTGCCGTAGCTTGAAGGGATCACTAAACAAGCAGCTGTGCCTTGAAAGCATTAACCTATTCCTTTCATCCTGTTCGTGATTTTCTGAGGAAACCGGTGGGTCTAAGGGTTGAATAGCCACTTGGCAATCGCGTTGTAAGGTTTGCAGAACGCTATCCAGAAATTCGCTTTCACGGGTGATGAAGACCAAAGGTGGCCGCTCAAGGGTTCTGGTGACGCCGTCGAGGAGGTTTACCGCCTGGCTGACCCGCGATTTGATAGACGAGACTTTTGACAACCTATGCTGCTTCGGTCCCCCCTCTAGCGCAACCATTTTTTCCATGCCGTCCAGGATCTCTAGCGCCTCTTCGAGATTTCGTTTTTCGGCCTGGCATTGGCAGATTTGCAATGAGCTGTTCTCCCGCCTTGCCCGAACGATTCGCTCTACGTTCGGGACCGACGTCTCGAGGAAGAATTGAGAATTGGAGCTCTGCGGTTGTGCTTTATTAAGGAGATCCATAATGCCGGACACTAAGCATCCATGCCCCAGTAATGAACTGCTCTTGGGGACTCGGTGACTTCGGGAAGGCGAAGAGGAGGATACGGGCGGAGGAAGGACGATGCATTTGAGAACGGTAGGAAAGCGGTTCTCGCATGCTCTATGAAATTGCCATCGATCAGATAAGAAAATTTCTGTAGACAAGAGGAGCGGGCTCACGAAGGAACAAACACCGGCGCAAGGTGATAAGCCGATTGAGTGGCTGCACTCTTAGGGCCATGTCGAATTTGGCATCATTGTGAGTAGCTCGTATCGATTATGTTGGACTTTTAGTAGATATCTCAACAATGGGAGACCATTAGTTGCGGGCATAAACAACTCCAAGGTTTAGGGCGTTATCGAGGATGCCACATCAGGGAATGCACTGTTACTTCTGAGATTTTCAGATGTTGCCAGTTTAGATGGCCAGGAGCCCCCGTCTGCAGCTTCTGGCCGGGCAGTAAGTGCCGCCGTAGAGAGGCTGATCTCTGTTGGAGCATTTCCCGGAGCGATCAGACTGTCCGGATCGTGTGCCGGAGGCTGCAGCACCGTCTGAGAAGATGTATTCACGATCGTGGGAGTGCAGCGGGTCCTGTGCTGATCTGCGACGGCGCCATGGCAGTCTGTTGACATGGGCAGACTCTGATTATCCATACCAGTGCTGTGGTCCCTGTTGGGAGCATGAACGACAAATTTCTTATAGCTGCGTGAAAGATTTGCAGGACTAATAGTACAAGCTGGGGAGATGCTCTCGGAAATCTCAATTAGCACGATGTTTCGGGCTATATGTCACATCCCCCAATATACCCGACTTCGTGCGTCAAGGCCAGAAGTCCAGTTCAGTGTCTGCGAGGTGACAGTAACCATATCAAACAGGGATGGAAAAGAAGGCGAAACGAGGGAGGGGCGCTGGAGCAATTACCTGAGCTTTATGCCCTAATTGCGCTGGGCACAGTACAATACCTGGTATTGTTACGGGGATTCTGTTTTCTCTTGCCGAATCTTGGTCCAAGATCGACCTGTCAATCCTGTAATGTGCGTTACACCTAGTCTAATTTTCGCTCAGCTTGTCACAAGATGGTTTATGATTCCTTTTCGTTGCCACCCAGCGAAATCCGGCAAAAGTTACTTCGAAAACGGCGGCAATGGAGGGCCCCGGCGCTGACACCGGTATTTTCCTTGCTTCATCTTAGCCCGACGCGATATGAAAAGCTCCATTCGGTGCTTTGGCTACGTCTCTATCTTTTCTGTCGTCTTTTGGTACTGTGAATGCATTGTCAACCGCGCTGAAGACTCCTGTGCCATAGTTCTCCTGCAGCTGGACAACTGAACTGGGCGTCTCCCCCACCGACAGCCGGTGATTGGCAGACATCAGTCTCGCAAGGATCGAGGAGACACTTGGAAGGTGCGGATTCGATCCTATCTCAAGTGAATATCTAGCCTCGAGCCTGCCCTGCTTGGATCCCATTCATCAAGCTCAACCATTACTTTTACTCTCATTTTCTATCAAAGTCATCCTTCCAAACATGGACCACTACAACCAAACAGCGGACAGGCCTTATGCCTCGCACGGCCAACCTAGGCTCGAGATCCCTCAGGCTGAGCAACAACTGCCATCTGTTCGGGAGGTATGTTGTCCCGACGACGAGTAACGTCGAGCTCTTACTGACATGATAACCAGGCCATCCCTCCTCCACGCGGGCACACTCTCGAGACCCACACTCAAGAGGTGCCATCCCACTCGAGGCCGGAAGCGGTGCCATATTTCAGCCCTCAATCCACCACGAGCATGAATGTGGCTAGCATCCCAACTCCGGTGTAACCGCACTTCAGCCCCATGGCGTATCCCACCTACCCAACAAGCCAAATGAAGATGAATGGACTTCTACCCTCTCCCACTGCAAACCCCGGCGGAATACGGCTCACCTTGGTCTACATCGTCCACATATGCCGATCCTGTTCCGATGAGTGCTGGACCAACTCTCCCAACTCAACCCCAACCCTACGCCATCAGCCAGTCCATGGTCCCCTCCGACACTCAAGAGCGCATCTACTCATCAACCTACTTCGTGAGCCGACGGGCCCATGACAGCCCGGGCACATACTCACGATGGAGGACGCCAGAAGTTCACGCGGCTCCCCGGTACAACCCATACCACATGTCAGACGGATCGTACAATCAGCCTGTGGACTTCAGCAGATACCCTCAGCCTTACGATCAAGATCGGAGTCCGCTGGGATACGACAGGCGACATCGATCCCTGGATACCTCTCCATACCTTACGAAGTACAGTCAACTGTTGTCCTACCCGATCATGGGCTATCGGACCCACGGCAATGGTCGACGATGCCGAGGCAACTTTCCGACGCCCATCACCGACATTCTTGGCCTATGGCTGCAAGAGCACTTGGATCATCCCTATCACAGTGATGAGCAGAAGCAAGATTTCATTCAGCGGACAGGTCTGACGGTCATTCAGGTGAGTTGCCAACATTCCCACTCTTGCACGGTCATTGTCTTGACAGTCTCGTGAGATTAACAACTGGTTTATCAACGCTCGCCGTCGGCAGCTGCCAGCCCTCAGAGAGGTACAAGACTATTCGAAGCCGGGCCTGAAGAAATTCTTCCCACTTAAAAAGTCCTGCCCAGCTTTTTTTTAGGAATGGACTCAGGACCTCGAGGCGGCAATAGGAGGTTTAAGTGGTACAGGGTTTGTGCTCGTCGAGTGCGTTCACCTCAGGATCAACGACATCAAGCTCTTGTGCGAGTAAGTCATACTCATCTGAGGGCCGAAACTGGTCAACTAGTCCAGGCATGGTGGTGGTGGCAATTGGCGGCCCGTGGTAGTGATCCTCCCACTATTTGTTTACCGCATCAAAAACCGGCTTGTGCCATGCTTTTGGCCAATTTCTCTTGGTGTGGGCAGTATATACAGCTTCGCTCCCCTACCTCAGGTCTTCTTTGTATAAACTGGCTACTTGTCGAGCGCTTCATACCACAGTATTGCACTTCCAATCGTGTACGCGGCCGATGCCCACTACAACGTTAAGTCACCCTGATATTCACACCAACTTGCCGAGCAGTAACCAAACGAAGCCGACAGTATCCATTCCACCGCGCCAATAAGGTTCCACAATCCAGCATGCCAGCCTATTACATGGGGTGCTGGCTTGTACCATTTCTCCTGCGTCTCGAGCAGTAATAGGATTCCTGAGAATACAAAGAGGACACTGCCAACCAGATATGACAACCAGTACACGCCCCAGAGCACCCCTTGACTCAGGTGGCCGTAGATCCCAGAAAGATCCAGGATGCCAGAAACATAGAAGACAGTTGCTCCGATAGCAAGCGAGATATTGGCGACGAGTCCAATCTCACGGATGTAGTGGGTGCGGAACTCATGCCAGCTTGGCCACCACCGCCACCTGCGCCGGAGCAGTGGGCCCGCGCTCTTGTCATTTCTCTGATGGTGATGCGTACAGCTCGAGGGGTCGACTTCGCAGAAAAGTTCCCGCACTGCCCAGCCAAAACAGCCCTTCTGGTTTTCGTTGACCGCTTCGAAAATCAGAAATACGGCCCCTACCTGGAACAGTGTTGCACCAACGAAAAACAACACGCCTCCTCCGATAGTAGTTTCTTTGCGAAACTCCGTACTTGGGTATGCTAGGGGGAGCCAGTAGAACAAGCTGGCTATGATAAAGATGAAACAGCCAACAGTGAAGAGAAAAGCGACCCAGAAGGAGATGTCCCAATACGGAAACTCAGTGAACATTCGCTTGACGCCTGTGAGGGATTTATGGAATTTGTTCTGGGCTAGCGGATGGTTTGGTGGGACTATGAGAGGGTGACGGCCTGGGATGTTCAGCGGGTAAGGACTTTAAGAAGGGGGCTGGCTTGCCTTTGCGGTTGTCGCGTGAGCGCCAGTGATATTGCACGTGGCTATCGCGATTCGACTCTTCATCCTCCGATTTGTTTTCGATCTTATCGAAGCGTGCATGTGTTGCGTTGAACCCAGGAATCGAGCCTGCTACGGAACTGAAATTGAGTCGAAGACCATTCTGCTCGAGATGTTGGCGGCGCTCGTCGGGAACATACTTGCTCCGACTCTGAGGCATATTTCAATTGTTCTTGCCCTGTAAAAGGTTGTGCGTTGTCAAGAGAAGTCTTGCTTCAAAGGTCCTATTGCTCCTTGGTCTGCTGCCGATTAGCCACCAGAAGATGACATGTAAGGGAGTTCGGTCCATTGAAAGCTTATTACGTAGTAACGGAACAAGCGGGAATTCGTCCTGCATGACGCCTGGGGTGACATTCGGTGTAAGCCGCAGTGATTGGTGGAAACAAAGAACTCGTAACTTATGATGCGAGAGAAGATGGCAACAGCAGAAGCCATCAGCACGGGCCAGGAAGGCTCACGCGACCATTCACACTCCCAAAAGGCTTTCGAAAACACTGCAACCTATTTGAACGCGGACCCGACCACCCCAACGCGTCCGATCACCTTCGACGCGTCAACTCCGCCGACCCAACGACACTCGTTACGAGCGAGACAACCAACCGGACGTGTCCTGAACATTGACGAAGGGAGCGACGAAGCCGGGGAGGGGGATGGAGAACAGACGGACACTCGTCAAAAGACAAACGGCAAGCGCGGTCGCCCGCCAAAGTTGGCGAAGACGCAACCGGGAGTAGATGGGCATCGAGGACTCTGTGCAGCTTAGACAGTGCTTTCCGATAGGCGAGTCATCAAGGCGAGCGGAATATCCAGAACACAATTATTCTCGCTGGCAGAATTCTCACTCTCAATATTTCCAGGGAAGATATCGAAGGTCCGTCTCCCAGTTCCAAAAGTATTCATATTCAAGGTGCTGCATCGCGAACCACTGCAGGGCCATGTGCATACTGCGTGCTACCCAATGGATTGGTCCGTCTAACATCTGTAATGGATCTTCCAGAGTGGCGTTTTGGTCATCAGCTCCCGTGCTTCGATCGTGTCCGGTTTTCATACCCGAGCCTTCGACCGTTTCTTTGACATACTGAAAATCTTGCGCCAGCTTATCAACTATAGAGCGGATCGACTTCCAGGGCGATTGGCTTCACTTGCGCGCTTCGGCGGACGGGTGCTTGCCGGATGATTCATACTCGTCCACTAGTTCCAGGAGCTCCCTGAGTGTCTCTTCTATGCCTTGTATTCTCACGTCGACATCCGACATCGTAAGGGAGTGAGGGTTCGAACCTTTCGCGGTGTTAAGAGTGGAGTGATGTTAAAGATTTGACGTGGTCTCTGGTGTTGATTTCTGTGACACGTGGTTGCTGGTAGAACAGAGGTCGTCTTGGCATGCACAGGCCACAACCCGGAGGATCTTTAAGCGTGCGAAAGCTAATGATTCGCAACGATCGCTGTGGTGCCCGGCAAACCATCGGTAAAAGTTGGGGCGCACGGGCCACAACCCCGTCGAGGTAGTTATGGCCCGTGCACGCCCTGGCCAAAGGACAACTAATTGTCTCACTGTGAATCCGGCGAGTAGTTTAAAGGGAGAAGCATCTTCTAAGGTGGTCATCTATCATTCCATATTCATCCATATCCAAAGGACACAACATCTTTTAGAAGGATCTACTTACGCAGTTCCAAGTTATCGTGAAGTAATTCAACATTCTTTAATCAACAGTGTCACCAATCTAAGTGATCCCCACGCAGGCGAAGTGCCAACAAGATATCCCTACGCTGTATTGTGACTCTCCTAGCATGGATGGCACATGAATTCGTATCTTCAAAGAGTGTGATAAGGTACGCTTCAGTAGTTCCCTGAAGGGCACCATTCCTACATGATTGGAATCTAAAATTGTGCCTTAGATTCCTTTTCGTCCTTTGTTGCGGGGTGGTCTCTGTTTCGGGACTTCAATCTGACATTGAAGCGTTTTTTGCTACAGTGAACCGGGCCATTTCTCATCAATTTATTCCTCATAGCAAACCGAAGACTTTTCGGGACCATGAAATTGGTCAGCCGGCAACATATATCAACGCTCAATTCAACACCACATGCTTTGACAACTGTGATGCTGCATCACAAATGTCCCACGAAGTCCACAGTCCAAGGTGCGCTGTGGACGCTCACCCAGGAGAGGGTATCTCATGGCCGTGGTGGCCGTCGTCTCAGCCCGGCTGGCCACTAGCAGCCTGGTCTTCTCAAGCATGAAAATGGAGTTCCTTCATGGACAGTAACACTTTACTCTAAGAGTTTGCCGCCGTAACTACGTCTAGATCGAGAGCCAGTACCACCCAGTAGCAGCCCCTGTTTCGCCTCACGTCTGATCTTCAACGTCGGCGGTCTCGTTTAAAAGAAAGACACTCCCTGAGCTTGCTGCGTGCTCACCAAACAATTCTCCAGTAGAAGCTCGTGCTACGACGCAAGATGGTGTCGCAATGCATGCAAGTCTTGCAGTGCGCCCTGGTCCTTTTGTTGTTGCAACCGCAGAAAACACTTGCGGCGCTTCGTTCGTACAATCTTACCTTGAATGCCGGCACGCGAGCTCCAGGTCAGTAGCAAACCGAGATTACCTTTCCCAATTCTTTCTGACAAAACATCGCAGATGGAGTGAAGCGCGAAGTCTACCTTGTCAACGGTCAACAGCCTGGTCCCTTAACTGAGGCTGACGAGGGTGACGACCTAGAAATCTTTGTACAGAACGATTTGCCGGTCGAGCAAACCATTCATTGGCATGGTTTGTCGCCCCTCCCGTGCGAATCTTGCTCGAGCGAATCTGGGAAAGGCGCTGACCAAGACGTCTTGTGCAGGTCTTCTTCAACGTGGTACCCCGGACATGGACGGCGTTCCTGGTATCACTCAGGTGTGTTGATGTACCAGTTGCTGCCAGCTGTCAAGATGCTCATGTGTGCTAGTTTCCCATCCCGCCAGGAGGCAATTTTACCTACCGCTTCTCCACAGGTACTGAGTACGGCGCTTACTGGAATCATTCTCATTTTCGAGCTTACTACGATGACGCTGTTCGCGGCCCACTTCTCATACATCCCTCACCATCACGCCGCCGTCCATTCGAGAGCCTCGCTCAAGACAGCAAAGAGCTAGATACAATGCTCCGTGTAGAGCGAGCTGCCACGCCGCTTCTGTTGGCCGACTGGTATCATAGACTCTCAGATGTTATCTACGATGAATACTTCAAAACCGGAGCCTTCCCTCAGTGTGTCGACAGTCTTCTGGCCAATGGGTACGGGTGAGTTCAGTGCTTGCCCGAAAGCGTCCTTCAAGCCAATCCGGGACTGGGAATAGAGTCCTTCCTCGCCAACGATCCACATGATCCTGTCAATCCGATGTCGACACCGCCGGCTGCTGGCGTTTCTGGCATGTCAATGGACTCAACTTCGAGCAGCGAAATGCCAATGGAGACAGTCTCATCATCCCCTATGTCGATGGACTGCTCCATGACCATGCGTGTACGGCAACGATCGGAACATATGTCGATGACGGGAGATTCTGCAACCGCTGAGATGAACACTCTTTCGGCAACTAGCACTGATATGGCCCCGGCGGCTAGCATGTCCAGCATGCCCGACATGATGTCCACTCTCGGTCCTAAAGGTTGCAGTCCACCCATGATGTTCAAGCCAGGCTTTGATAAAAGGTTCCCTCCCACCAGAGACCTGCACCAACACTACGTCAGAGCAGTTGGTGTTAAATGCCGATGCTTCTCAAGGGTGGACGGCTTTCCATTTGGTCAACGCCGGTGCTGTAAGTAGGCTGAGTGTCTCACTTAATGGCCACTCTTTCATTGTTTACGCTGCAGACGGACTATATGTGAAGACACAAAAGGCCGAGGTCGGTTCTGGCACGCTTATATTGACTTTCTGTTCTGACGATGACAAGTTATACACATCATAGTAGGCCAGCGTTATTCGGTAATGGTGAGACTGGATCAGATGCCGGGCAACTACAATCTGCGATTCGCTTCGTATCCCTACGGAGATATGCAACAGGTCATTGAAGGTCAGGCAATACTGTCATATCAGGTAAGGCGATTCAATTCCAGCCCTTAGCGAAGAGTTGTACTAACTCACGGCAGGTCAATGGCCAAAATGCCACCAATTTGGCCACGATGGATAATCCTGCCTTGCCTTGGGCGCTTGTGAATGGGTCTGCAAAACTCACTGCTGCTGAGCTGGACGAACAGACGCTTGCGCCATTTGACAGCAGTGGCCCTCCCAGCGGACCATCTGCCGTCACAAAACTATTTGCTATCAATCAAACCGACGTCGTCACCTGGGTCATCGACGGTCAGCCCTTCTCAGAACCGTCCAGACCAATCATTTACGGCAATACTTCTGACGGCTGGGAAGCAGCTACAAGTCTGCACTTACCCGGTAACTCAACAATTGATCTGATCATGCACGTCGCAAACGATTCGATGGATACGGTGAGTTGAATCTTTTAGAATGGCAAATCCATGAGTCATAGCTGACACTGAATCTCAATAGATGGGACATCCGATACACCTGCATGGTCATAAATTCTAGTTTTCGGGATCAGGTACCGGAATGTTTCCGTATCGTTCTGTCACGGAGGCGCCATCAAACATTCTTAATCTGCAAAATCCCCCTTATCGAGATACGATCGATCTGCCACCGTCCGGGTGGGCCGTTATCAGGTGTGCCACATAGTGTTCGGGCGTAGTTCATTCATTGCTAATGTGTCACAGATATGTCATCGACAATCCAGGGGCGTGGTTTCTCCACTGCTATGTGCAATGGCACCTTGTGGTAAGTGTATTCAAGGAACATCTGAACTCAGAGGCTGACCGTTTGATTCAATGCAGAGCGGGATGGCAGTAGTGCTTATTGAAGGTCAGGAGCGGCTTGGACAACTATTGGGATCGATTGAGTCCGCCGCCAATTATCCAAATGCAACGGCTCCAGCTAGTGTGGGAACGTCCCTTGCCAGGACAAACGTAATGCGCAGCGTCCCGCTTCCAGCCATATTGTGCGCGACACAATTCGGCCACATGCTTTATTAGCAACGCTACGAACGGGATACGCTACTACGGTGCGAGAGACGAGCATAGCAAAGAGCACTGCCTAATGCCTGGTACTGAGTGTGTCTAGACGAGAGGATAATTTTTTCGATATAGATTAGCGGGGCTGTTCGGTTGACTTTTGCAGTAATGTCTATGGAGTAGTGCTGGTTTCGAACAGATCGCGAACAGAATCACTCAATGCCTTGGTAGCCCGAGTTGCCGTGTTTCCGCAGTTCTGTCAGGTCAGACTGTTTTCAATACTAACTCATCACTCGAGAAAGCAAATCGCCTCCGATGCGGGTAATGTCTGATCATTCGAACTCCGGCCTCGAAGTCGGTAGTGCTCTGCTGCTCGTTACTACCGGCGTGCTGCACAGCTGATGCTGATGGCTACCCGTCCAAAATCAGAGCGGTACGGTAGACAGAGGATTTGCAAGGAGGAACGAAGGCACAGAACACGTAGAAGTCTCGTCGTGCTGGACACGCCAGTAGCGACGGTTTCTACTGGAACGTTTGTCAAATCTTTGTATGGTGTTGAATCTTGCTATTTCGTACGGCCAGTGTTGCGCATCTTTCTGCTGAGAGTTGTATCCCCACACATTTCTTCCTTCTGATGAAGCCGGACGGCTGTCTGATCAGTACTGTAGTCTGCCTTGTCACGCAATAGCCTCTGTCCTTAGATGCCGTTTCCCCTGTGGAGACCGAGGTTCGGTGGAACGATGTTCACCCGTATGATATGGATCGAAAGAATCGGAATGACCAGCCTTAATCTTTGCTTGATAAATTATGAGCAGAATAGGACATGAAACCTGTGGAGAGTACCGCTGTGACGCCTGGTGTTCCATTTGATTTGCTTCGCTGATATACCAGGCTTCCCAAAGGTCTGGAGGTGTATCTAGAAGAATCGGGCCGAAGTTCTGTCGGGCTATCCGAGCACCGCCGTCTCCTTCATCAAGCACAGGCCTCTTTGATTCCTTCGTTGATCAACCACCAGTTGATAGGAAACCCCGTCCAGTGACCGAAGAACATGCCGATCTGAGCCACGATACGTCAGCATGACTTTCAACAAGAAGGATAAGATCGAGACTGTAGACTCACCTGCATCATGAACCAATACGTCCCAGTGTTCATCCCCAACTTCTGATCGAAGATCAAAAGGTCGAAGATGGCCATCCATCCAAAGAGACCGATCTCGAAGAAGGTAAGCGACAGGAAATCTGCCTTTACGGAGCGGACGATGGTTTTCCACCCGTAGTCCCCAGCCATTGGAGCGATGGAAAAGTACTGGAAGACGATGCCAAAGGCGAGTGCGAGTACGAAATCTGAGCAAAAAGCAAGAGTGTCAGCGGATAATGGTAGGTTAGAAACCGGAGGAGGTGCCGACTTACCGACGACGAAGGCGGCGAAGAGCATACTCCTACCGATCGTGAGGCCTAACGCATCGACCAGCCACTCCCCGACTATGTCGCCGAGAACGCAGCCAGCACCGCAATGGCAGGTTGCGATGGTGACGGTGGCGAATATTGGCCGGTCCGCGCCCATGTTGTGATGGTGCTGGTGGGCTGCTCCACTGTCCTCTGGAGCGTGGCCGTCGTGTTCATTTGTCATATTAGCACTTTGGTGACCAGTATGGTCGTCTGTGTACGTCCCACTTCCATTCGACCGCAGTTCAGCGCCTGTATTCGCTTCGCTAGGGCCCATCCGATGATGCGAGTGTAGGAGCGGGTCTTCTTCGCCCGCTTGGGCTTCATCCCCGAATCTCTTTACCTTTTTTGGTACCTCCGGCCTTCCGTACTTGACATATGTCCACACAGTGATCGGCCACAGGTAGAGTGCGTTGATGATGTAGACTGGGATCCTACAGCCCAAGAGCACGTTCTCAGTCAGTCTGCGACCATTTTATGGAGAAAGGGCTACAAGATACGAGACAGAGCCACTTACATGATCGCCATCATGGACCCCCATCCTCGACGGTAGACAATGTCGAAGGTAAGCCATAGGGATGCGAGTACGGCAATGCCAAGAGAGATCCATGAAATGACGACGAGTGGCAGCGGGGGCGTGTAGGTTGAGGAAGGCATGTTCGCGGCCTCCATCTTAGCAGTGTAGCTTGCCTGGCGAACCGGTGTGGACGGTTGGTCGAGTGAACGATTGCGAATGAGAGCAGCGGCAAGCAGCGGGCGCGGTCGTTGCACCAAGAATCGGTTCTAATGGGTTTTAATCGCGGCGTGGAAACGTATTTGTCGGTAGTTGTAGTGCAGTTGCGCTGAAGAAGAGGTTAATTTCGTTGGCGCAGTGGTGAGATGTCGCTTTACCAGAGGGTCAAAGATAGTACAGGCACTCTGACGCGAGCAGATTGGAAGAGGTGATGTAGCAGAGTATCAGAACCCGTCCTTTGGTGATGACATCAGGTCTTTCGCTGGTCATCTCTGTCACCTTATAGCTCGTCAAGGAAAGAGGAGTCGCCCCAAACACGCACAAATAGAGCAAAAGGGCCCACTAAGTTAGGATGCTCCAGCCCGCCTACGCTATCTCCACCCCGCTAGCCCGTCTGCCTTTCTCTGCTGTCCTCTTCTGGCGTGCTTCTGTCCTGTTTTCGCGCCCTGTCAGTAGTGTACTGTGTAAGTTGCTGCTATCCTGCTGAGCAGAAGCTTGTCGCTTGCTGAGGAATGTCGGCGCCCCTCACAGACCACGAGAATCGATTCACTGAACATGAATCACAATCACGGCTCCCGCTGCAGTTGAACGAGGCACCAATCAATAGCCCCACCTTGATGAGTATGACGCGTAAGCCTCCTCAAATCAAATGTTGAGTGCTCAAATGCAGGAACACGATACGGACTTTGCGGATTGTTGTCACAATGAGCTTGTACAGTCCGAGTTTGGTTTCTGAAATGCAGTAACCACAACTGAGCAGCGTTTTGCGAATGATGCGGTAAATTGCATTTCCCTTCAAGAGATCTCCATGTTGGGTTCTGAGGGGTGAAGCTAGCGAATGCGGGTATGCATTGATGATAATTGTGCTGCTTAGCTTCTACCACAGAGAGCAGAAGAACTACTCGCTATATGCTTCCCGGATGCATCTAGGCAGACGCTGATCTCGCTAGGCACCAAGCCAGATCATTAGGCAGCCCTAGGCTACGGTGTCTGCCTGTCAGGAGAAACACTTCAGGTGAGAGATGTCTGCAACCATCCAACACTCCCACTCAGACTCTCTGACATGACTCTTCCAGTACACAGACTCTCACTATCCCTCGGACGTTGTCATCTCTTTCAGGCCAATCTGTTGTACGAATCGTTGAGACTTTATCCGTGACAATGGTTTGGTCAATCCATCAGCGATCATGTTGTCTGTGGATATTTACTTGACCACAGCAGAGCCTTCGGTAACTCGTTCTCGGATATAGTGGTATCGGTTCTCGATATGCTTTGTCTTGTTGTAGAAGACGGGGTTTTCAGTGAGTGTAATCGCCCCCTGATTGTCGGCGTAAAGCATTGGTTTGATCTTGATACCAAGATTCGTTTGTGGAGGTGTAGACGGTGTAGAAAAATCTACTTCATTTAGTAGCTTCCGAAGCCACGTGGCCTCCGTTCTTGCTGTGCTCATTGCTATATACTCAGCTTCGCATGTCGATAGTGCGACACTAGGTTGTTTCCTGGACGCCCAGGTAATAGGTCCTCCAGCCAGCATAAAGACGAAGCCCGCTCGACGATCTCGATCACCGACGTAGTCGGCATCCGAATAACCGACTAATTCGTTCCCCTGTCTCGCGTTTCTGCTGTATTCGATCCCTAGGTTCAATGTACCCCTAAGGTATCGAAATATACGCCTCACAGCAGTTCAGTGAGTGTCGGTCGCGTTAGACGAATAATGGGCAAGCGTTGAGACGGCGTATGCTATGTCTGGTCTGGTCTGGACCATGGCGTACATCAGTGAGCCGATGGCTCGCTGATACTTTTGTTGAAGCTTAATGTCCACTTCTGCAGTGGACTTCTGAAGTAGAATTCCAGGTTCCATCGGTGTGGCAACCGGGTTGAATCTTTGAATCCATAGGTCTCGAGCATTTCATGGATGTACGTTGCTTGACTGACTTGCAACTTGGTTTTGTTCTGGGACTGCGTAACGTCAAGTCCTAGATATTTAGAAATGTTCCCTATCTCTGTCATCTTGTACTCAGCCTTGAAGTGGTCTTTCGCCCTCTCGATCTCGGTTTCATCGAGTCCAGTGATCAGGATATCGCCGACAAAAAGTGCAATTATGGTTCGCTTCTCCTTATTCACAAAGACGGATCCATCAGCGGTGCATGCCTGATATCCGTTCTTGGAAAGGAATCTCTCCACAGTCTCGTACCATGTTCGTGGAGATTGTTTGAGGCCATAGAGCGCTTTCAGAAGGAGGCAAACCAGTATCCTACTCCGTATCCGTGGGGCTGTTCGACGTAAACTTGTTGATGCGTTGTCGGCAAGTTCGAATTGAGAAATGCCGTGACTGCATCCATTTGTTATATATCCCAGCCATGAAGAGCGGCGGGGGCAAAGATGATTCGAAACGCTCGATCCACCGATGCATATGTCTGCTCGTACAATACCGTATTGCTGTTCGAAGCCATTCGCTACCCAGCGAGCTTTGAAACGTCCGTCGTCCTTTAACGAGTAGATCCAACGGCCTTTGATGGCTCTTCGTCCTTCAGCGCGCTCACCACCTTGAAAGATTCTGGGCGTAGCGGGTCTGCAGTGGCGGCAATGGCACACAACACATGTGCTTGTGGAAGCTTCTCACCATTTGGCATTTCTGTGACGGGGCGATCAAGATGACCGACTTCCGTTCCATCTTCCACGAATCAAGGAGCTCTTGATTCTCCACAGATACAGTGACATTGTTCTCCGCCATCAACGATTCATTTCCGATCAACGCGAAAAGCAACAGTCCTCGGCATCACGATCGCGTGTATGGTAGATGTTAGCATAATCTGCGGGGACGGGTCTTGTCCCCGTCGAAGTTGCTATACGGGGCTTGCACATGAGCCAAGTAACGCGAAAGTCGCTCATTGCGTTTATTGGCCCTAGTCAGAAACGCATCGTTCCACAACGCGATTGAGAGGGGGCCCTGGCTTTTCCAAAGGTCATTACGAGTCGCGAATGGTTCCTTTCAAGAACGATGACGACTCGCAGATATTGTGTGGCAGATTATCAGTCAGAAGAGTGGTTCAAACGGATAGCAGTAGTGTCTATTTGCACCTTGACGGCATTGGGGTCACGGACGCATAGACGTATTCTATTCAGCTCCCAGCAGAGTGCATCCCGGGACATACCGATATGCGCACTCAGGATGAGCTGTCTAGAAGTGAAGTATTGTTGTGAGGATGGATGCACCACGGCATGCGCATCGGTAATGGAAGGGTAGCTTGATTATGCTTGTGGAAGGATGGAGCAGTGACTGGATACACTAAGCTACATAGAGGTGAGTCATAGAGGCCTGAAGACCAAGGCTTGGACATGGCGCATAGACAATAGATGTTTAGAGCACTGGCTGTTCTGAGTTGTTTATGTGCTGCTCCTTTCCGATGATTTGACAGTTCCGGTAACGGAAAAGTGGATGACGCGTGGTTTCTGCGTTCAAGAAAGATAGTGCCAGGCGCAAAACGCGCAAGCGCCAACAGGGTTGCGCTGTTTGTGCGTCTTTCCTTCCCATTCACTGAGGCAGCTCCACTTGATGACGAACCTCCGAAACGCGGAGGTGGTCATTATACCCTACAATCGCAGCTACAACAGCACTTGTCTTATAAACTGCAACAAGCCATGTGAGAGTCCTGCCCACGAACACTGCAAGTGGCCGTCAACTCATACCGCTGTCAGTCGATTGGATCAGCTCTGCCTCCCCCAGCCCCATAGTCTGCATCCCAATTTTGATTCTTTTTTACATATCTAGTACCTTCTTCGATCGCCTAGCCTATATATTATCATCACCAGCAGCCGTCTGTAACTCTGAGTCTGTGCTCGAATGTTGTCTCCCCCAGCAGCGTCTGCAGCTTCTAATGATATCGCGACCATGACTTCCCCAACACAACTGCAGACAATATTTCTCATTCCAAACCTACACTGTCCCTCTTGCGCCTCCCACATCGAGGCAGCCTTGTCTGAACTCGATCCCAAGCCGTCCTCCATCCAAATATCTATCGTCTCTTACACCGTCACAGTCCAACATCATCGCACGCTCTCGGTCGCTACAATCAGCGAAGCTCTCGCTGATGCCGGCTACGAAATCTATGACATTGTCTACGATCCAGCCTCCGGGCAGAGTGGTCAGTCCGACGGCTTGGAGCGCGGCATCGAACCACTGCCCTTCGAGCAAGCCCTGTCCAGATGGCGATCCCACATAAACGAGGTTGAAGCAACCAAGCGACGCCGTCATCTCGAGGTCTGTCGGCAATGCCAAGATTTGATGTCAAAAGTGCGGTCCTCAGTCGACGAGAAGGTGCTTCCCGTGGTGGTTGACCGTCTGTCCGAACTCCCCGAGCAATTCGATGCCACCTTCCTGGTGGAAGGCATGACCTGCAGCTCCTGTGTTGGTGCTATCACGAAAGCTCTGAAGGAGAAGGAATGGGTTCGATCTGCCCACGTCAGTCTCATCACCCACAGTGCCGAGGTTGTGTTTCAAGGAGACGATTCCGAATCGCGTATTAAGGAACTCATAGCCATGATCGAAGCGGTGGGGTATGGTGCCTCACTCGACCAGTTGCAATCGCACAAGGAAAACAAGCCAGCAACACACAACGCGCCCGCCAATCCCTGGCATGCGATTTACACCCTCGAGGGTATGACCTGCAGCTCGTGCGTGGGCAACATCACGCGGGCTGTCCAGGCTCTGGATTTCGTCAAGAAGGTGGAAGTCAGTCTTCTCAGCCACACCGCGTCAGTCACCTTCGCAGGAAAAGATAATGTCGATATAATCGCTCAGGCCATCGAAAACGCGGGTTACGGCGCAGCCCTAGAATCGTTGTCCTCCGTTGATCCGTCGCCAGAACAAGACTCTGTGCGTACAGTATCGATCCGCATTGACGGACTGTATTGCGAACAGTGCCCAAAGCGCATCCAAAATGCCATCGAAGAGCTGGACTGGGTCACTCTGGAGACCGCACCTTCGTCGAGCAATCCCGTCCTGACCCTGTCATACGTTCCGGACGCGCCTCGAAATACCATCCGGACCGTCTTATCTGCCCTCACAGATGTGGATCCTTCTTTCCAAGCCTCTGTATACCATCCTCCCACGCTGGAAGAACGGTCAAGGAAAATGATGGCGCGCGAGCAGAGGCACATTTTGTACCGTGTGATACTATCGGTCACTGTGGCAATTCCTGCTTTGATCATTGGTATAGTATATATGAATCTCGTTCCTCACAGTGATTCGGGATACATGTATCTCATGACTCAACTTGGGGGAGTCTCACGGGCTGAGTGGGCTAATTTCATCCTGGCTACACCTGTTTACTTTTTTTCTGCAGACCTCTTTCACCGACGTACCATCAAGGAGCTGCGCGCGTTGTGGCGACCCGGGAGCAAAGTACCGATTGCGCGACGGTTTTACCGATTCGGAAGCATGAATATGTTGATCAGTTTCGGCACGTCCATTGCCTACTTTGCCTCGATCGCGGAGCTGATCATCGCCGCCACCCGCAAAGCCGATACGACAAAAGCTGGCGCACCTAAATCGTACTTTGACTCGGTCGTCTTTTTAACCATGTTTCTCCTCTTCGGTCGATGGATAGAAGCATACATGAAGGCAAAAGCCGGTGACGCCGTTGCCGCTCTCTCTAAACTGAAGTCGACGGAGGCGCTTCTGGTGACGACTGACAGCGCAACCGGTATTACTACGATGACCCAAACTGCCACGGATCTCATCGACGCGGGTGACATTGTCCGAATTGCGAACGGTAGCTCACCTCCCTATGACGGCATCATCACAGAAGGGGAGTCTCAGTTCGACGAGTCCAGCCTTACAGGAGAATCAATGCCGGTAAAGAAGTCGATCGGTGACGTCGTGTATTCTGGCACGATCAATAAAGCCTCCCCGATATCCATCCGAGTCGCCGGCGCGGCTGGAAAGTCAATGTTGGATTCCATCATCAACGTGGTGCGCGAAGGTCAAGCCAAAAGGGCCCCGGTGGAGCGGATTGCCGACCTCGTCACGGGGTATTTTGTCCCGATAGTCGTCCTGATCGTCATTATCACTTGGCTGACTTGGCTGGCATTGGGCCAAGCTGGAGTCTTGCCTCCAGATTACCGAGACACCGAGGTCGGAGGCTGGCCTTTTTGGTCGCTTCAATTTGCGATCGCCGTATTCGTGATCGCCTGCCCTTGTGGACTTGGGCTGGCGGCGCCCACGGCGCTCTTTGTCGGAGGCGGGTTGGCCGCAAAGCACGGCATCCTGGTCAAAGGGGGAGGAGAGGCCTTCCAAGAGGCCAGTGCGTTGGATTGCATCGTCTTCGATAAAACGGGCACCCTCACCGAAGGCGGAGAGCCCAAAGTCACCAACTACGAGACTGTTGTGTCTTCTGACGGCCCTGTCAACGAAGAGGAGACTCTGGGTCTGCTGAAGCGTCTCGAGGAAGACAGCACTCACCCGCTTGCCAAGGCCGCCGTTAGATTCGCTGTATCACGACTAATCACGAACTGCAAAGCCGAAGTTGTTGAGGAAGTTGCTGGAAAGGGGATGAAGGGAATCCTTTTGGTTGATTCTCAGCCCACCCGCAAGATTCACGCGTTGATCGGAAATGAATCGTTGATGGCGGAGAACAATGTCACTGTATCTGTGGAGCATCAAGAGCTCCTTGATTCGTGGAAGATGGAAGGGAAGTCGGTCATCTTGATCGCCGCCACAGAAATGCCAAATGGTGAGAAGCTTCCACAAACACATGTGTTGTGTGCCATTGCCGCCACTGCAGACCCGCTACGCCCAGAATCTTTCAAGGTGGTGAGCGCGCTTCGCAAACGGGGGATCGAAGTGTGGATGCTCTCTGGGGACAACGAGAAGACGGCCAGGGCCGTGGCGAGTAAAGTCGGTATCGAGACGAGCAACGTCATTGCTGGCGTTCTGCCGGACCAGAAAGCGAACAAAATCCAATATCTCCAGAAGAGAGGGACCGAGGTCACCTCACGCGGTATCTGGGGGTATTTCAGAGAACACAGGACTCGTGCCACGGTCGCGATGGTGGGTGACGGAATCAACGACTCTCCTGCACTTACTGTGGCCGACGTGGGAATCGCCATTGGGTCTGGCTCCGAAGTGGCAATCTCATCCGCTGGGTTTGTCCTCGTCTCGTCGAACTTGAGTACATTGCTGATCCTGATCGACTTGAGCCGAGCGGTTTTCAGGCGGATCAAATTCAACTTCTTCTGGGCGGCTCTGTACAACATGATCGCCCTCCCTGTCGCTGCAGGAGTTCTGTACCCTATAAACAGTGGAGGAAGTCGCATCAGACTTGATCCTGTTTGGGCGGCTTTGGCAATGGCTTTAAGTAGTATCAGTGTCGTGACTAGCAGTCTAATACTGCGGGTGGGGGCACCTATGATCGGGTTTAGAGTGTCCAAGGATTATGATTGATCAAGGGCATCATGTCCGGAGGATGACCAACGTGATGAATGACAAGGTGACTACGATATTTCCGGTGCCAGATAGTTTGGTCGGTCTCGTTGACAATCACGGTAGAATGCTCGGCACGAAGATATCAAGTTTGAATTTCGTCCCAATTGGATTGTGGAGGCTATAATGAGCTCAAGCGATAGTGATTACATCCAACCACCATCTTGACTGCTCGTGTCATTTTGCAGGCTATCGACCAGCGCATAATCTTCCGCCACCGATATACCTCCGCTCGGATATGTGAACCCAGGGTTTAAAAGGTCGAACTGCTCGAAAGCTTCGTAGGACGGAGGATCGCTGGCGATGTAGTTGCTGTTGTTCAAGCTCGAATCCTGAAGATTCTCAGCGGAGTCGAAATCGTATCGCGACAAATCGACCGGAAGCCACCTGTATTGATGGGCTTGCTCGTACGACATGAACCAACTATCAGGTGATTGTTCTGGGACTGACATATCTTGCTGGCTATTCGACGATGAAGTAGAATTGGTGAGAGAGTATGGATAGTTGCTGGGGTTGACTGCTAGAGTGCTGAGGTCCTTTGCGGGATCGTTCGTCGCTCCAAGCAAGGCGAAATGGTGATTATTGGTATAGAATGTTGCTTTGCTCTGGCATGAGTTCATATTTGTAGGGCGTGGTCTGATTTGCTCTTTTGGCGGTATTAACGACAGGGAGTCTTCTAGAACGGACTCAAGATGCTCTTTCTTGAGAGAACAGGTGCATTTTGAGATGTGTTGGCAGCAGCATGTATGGGGGACTGACTTTGATCAGATTGAATGGATTACGGTTAGGAAGGGAAGCATACTATGCTCGCCATCAGGCTTATTATCAGGACAATCTTCCTCTATATGACCTTTCTGATGACACTCACAATGGATATGTTGGGATCGAGTTTTGCGCATGCGTCGGCAGTGCTGGCATTGGGAGACTGGGCGGCCTTTCTTGTTGACATGAACTAGGGGCTGAGCTGTTGACCTATTCGTCAGCTATAGAGACTGTGTGAAGAGATTTGCAATAGAACCTTGATGGTCGCAGGAACTAACACGATGGCCTTTGACGCAAGCCTCGCAAGCAAACTTTTCTCCGTTTATGAGCATCGCGGGAGGAAGTTTGTGAAGGGTCTCAAAGTCCTTCTCAATAGACCTTGCTTGGATCGAGAGTCGTGCGAATCTGAGATCCATGAGTAAAAGTTGGGGGGACGCTGCAAGTTGCCGTGAACGTTGAAGCCGTGTAATAATGTGGCAACTTCCAGTGATGCGGGGATTCAATGATCGAAACGCAATGTTACTATCTCGAATGAAAAAAGGTCGGAAACAGGGGATCGACCTCGTTGGGCCGTCACAGCAGTCAAATGTACGCGAAAAGCACTCACATCGGCAAATGGACCATGTGGGGTAAGTTAATGCCGATCTACATCTTAATTGTCTCCGACGAAGTTTGGCCCCATGCGTGCCTCCCGTGGGAAGTTGCTGCAGAAATCTAAGCCGGGTAAGCAATTACTTATCATATTTAATCCTCCAGCGAAAGTAGTCGTCAATGGTCGCTGACGCTCCTCCTTGTGTGTCAACCGGCTGATCCAGCCTCAGTAAGAGGAGCATTTTTATTATATCAAAAAATTTGCCTCGAACGTGTATATCTGGGGTGTGTGGTAGAATCAAAACGTATGGATTTGACGAGTGGAGAGACACCTGTTCCTCGCAGCCACCGTACTTACGCCGAGTCCGAGCTGCCCAACCCACTAGATTCAGAGCGATTTCGGTGGTAGACGAGGATAAATGAAGCCAGAGAACACGTAGAAGACTCGTCGCACTGGACACCCCCGCAGCGACGATTTTACCGGGAACAAAACTAAGACTTTAAGGAACGCTGTTCAACCCTTACGGTATTGATTGAAAGACTCGGACTGACAGACCTGAATCTTTGCTTGATAAACAATGATCAGAATAGGACATGGAACCTGTGAAGAGTACTGCTTCGACCCCTGGAGTTCCATTTAATATTCTTCCTATATCAAGATATATCAGGCTTCCCAAAGGCCCTCCCCAAAAACCCACACCACCTAGACCAGCTCTGGGGCGCATCAAAAGAACATTCGAGCCGAAATTCTGTCGAGCTTCCGGGGCACGGCCGTCTCCTTCATCAAGCACAGGCCTCTTTGACTTCTTTGTTGACCAACCACAAGTTGATAGGAAACCCCGTCCAGTGTCCGAAAGACATCCCGATCCGAGATACGACACGTCAGCTTGACTATCATGAAGGAGGATCAGATGGAGACGGTGAGCTTGCCTGCATCATAAACCAATACGTCGCAGTGTGCATCTCCAACTTCTAAGCTTCGAATCAAAAAGTCGAAGATGGCCATCCATCCAAAGAGACCGATCTCGAAGCAGGTCAGCGACAAGAAATCGGCCTTCGCAGAGCGGACGATGGGTTTCCACCCGAAGTCTCCAGCCATCGGAGCAATGGAAAAGAACTAGAAGACGATGCCAAAGGCGAGTGCGGGTACGAATTCTGAGAAGTGGGCAAGAGTATCAGCGCATCTATGGATATTGTTGAGGACTGGTAGGTCAGAATCTGGAAAGGGTCCAGACTTACCTACGATGGAGGCGGCGAAGAACATACTCCCATTGATTGTTCCGCCTAACGTATAGATCAGCAATTCTCCCACTACGTTGCCGAGAACGCAGCCAGCGCCGCAATGGCAGGTTGCGATGGTGATGGTGACGAACATTGGTCGCTCCGCGCCCGTATCGTGATGTTGCTGGTGCGCTCCTTCACCATGCTCCGAACCATGGCCGTCGTGTCCATTCGCCGTTGTAGCACTTGATTTGACCAGGACGAGGGTCTGCGACCGAATCAGTCCTCTCCAGCCGACGTTCACCGTCCGTGCTATCTTCACTATAACCCATCCGATGATACGAGCGTAGGAACGATTCCTCTACTCCTGTGTGGGATCCATCCTCGACTTCCCTTCCTATTTACGGCAGCTCCGGCCTTCCGTACTCGATGTACCCCTACACAGTGATCGGCCCCAGAACCCTCTTCTTCCAGACCAGCCAACAACTGAATCAGTGTGGGCTACAAAATGGTTGGCTCTTGATTGCTCGAATATGTTTGAGAGGCTCGGGTCCTAGGCTCCAACCACCAACAATTCGATAAATCCGTTTGCTCCCTGGAATCATCCAGGTAGTGACATTGTAGTATTAAACTGCATCCCAAGGAAGGTAAACATCAGGACACTTAGCTTCGATTACTTTTGCCACCTTGCTGCCTAAAACCAAATGGTGTGTTTGTGGTACTGGAAGGATCATGGCTACCCTTGTCCTGTACATACGGCCTTCGTTTCCACTTTCGAACTCAAATAGTTGACCGCCAGATTGACAGAGTTCACGGGTTCCATGAGGGTCGCTGTCGTATGCATCAACGCGTTTTGGTGCCTTGCGCTGGCAGTGGAGGGACCTAGAATGTTGGATCTGCCGATTTCAGTGAAGAAGGGACATAGTCGTCTTCATCATCGGTTGAGACGCACTCCGAAGTGGTCTGTCGCCATATCCTCTCGGTAAATTCGGGCTCGATGGAGGAGAAGGTGCGGTTCACGCAGCCGTGTTGAACTTTGAAGAAGGCAAAGGATAGGGCAATGTGAAGCTGTCGAGCAATCTACTTGCGGTATGAATTGATAGACTTGGACCAAGATTTCGGAAGAATGGAGGGCCACTTTACAGTAGCAACTCTTTGTCTGTGCAGAACCTTCTCGGCGATATTGGCGATTACATCAGGACTATAATAACTGTCCCGAACAGTCGTTCTTGTGTATAAATATCCGAAAGACGACGTTGCCGTGCACGCGCGTTGAGGTCGGGGTTTGTCTAGCATCAAGCCCAAAAGAGGGCAGGGACGTCCACCAAGGAAAGTAGAGGAGTACGGAGGAAGACTTTGCCCGTATTTGGCGAAGTGGAGCATGATCCTGCTAAAGGAGAGCTTGACGCACCAGAAATAGACGGAAGGCAAACGGATCAAACTTTTGACATCCGAGAGTCCTCGCATTGCGACAAGCCAACTCACAGTCATGATATGATCGTCTTTCGCTAGGAGCCTTTTAAAGACCTCTTTAGGACGCGATTTAGCGGATGACAGGGCTTCCTAGCCCACATGGTGCAATTCGCTGAATGCATCATGTCCTCAAAAGATTTGTTTCACATCGACGTGCAGCGTAATGTTCCACGCGTGCCCGCCAGTATCATTGAGTAGCGGCGGCCTTCGATTCTAGATGTGACTATAGTGGCCCGGCCATCTGCATTTTTCCCATCTGTTCTCCCACTTCAGGGAGGACCAGGTTCAATCACGCGCGTCAGTAAGTCTGACGGAGGTTCTGTCTTCTGGATTCCCTTAGACATTCCAAATTACTAACAGGTTTCGAATCCTGATCAGAAGATTCCAGCGGAAGGAGCAAAATGGCTCGCCAATATGGAGTGGCACTGGTTAATATCACCATTTCTTCGCCATACAATTGTACAGAATACGTGGCGCTTGCCCCCAGAGACAATACACCGCTGGAACGACGAGAACACAGGGGCAAGAACACTTTTCATTATCTGAGAGCTGGAGTTTCGTGCTCACCAAGGGAAGTACCATCACGCTCCTACAATCCCAATAATCAGCACAGTGCACCCCAGCACGACATCCAGGCGAGCCACCCAGTTTTCACCTCCTATTCACGTACCTCATCGAGCAAGCAGAGTCGACGTGTCTACGTATATGATGAGGAAGCTGAATATGGGGAAATGGGGAATACGTATTTGTACAGAGAGCAAAGAGCGCCAAAGTAAAGGCATGGAAAGAGCGACATAACAGCATGTACTCTAGCTATGGCCAGGAACAGATGAGAGAAGAACAATCCGAATACTCCAGACCACGATCTTCGTCGACCACCTACAGGGCACCACGAAAGCCCAACTCTGCCACAAACCCTAGCGAAAATGCAACGGAAGAGGACGCCATCCGTGCAGGTATCCCAGCCAGCTATTCTATCAAAGATTGGGACTCGACAGAACGACCCATCATTCTACTAGGCAAGGTCTTCGACGCCGACTCTCTCGGCAGATGGATGTACGATTGGACAGTCCATCATCACGGCGCGTCGACTCCTATGGCCGACATGGCTGGGGACTTGGTGCTACTGCTCATCAAACTTGCAGGCACAATGAAAAGATCAGAGAGACGTGTCGAACGGATTCGAAACGTTGATGACCGGGAAGTGGTCGGTGATTTCATCGATAGCGGCAACAGATTGTGGGGAAGCTTCGAGGAGCTCCTCAAAGAGTGCGAACATTACATGTTGCAGGCCGCCAAGCGAGACGGCACAAAGACGATGGGCAGAAAAGTAGGCACTGAATTTGTCGAGTCCCCTCGAGTCGACGGAGAAGACCATGAGCCAGGTCAGGCTTTGGAACATGCGCTTCGATGTCAACTGTTGGGAGACATTTAGGCCATCTGCTGCCTAGAATCAAAGGCAAAAGGATCTGGACATTTAAAGTATTTGACGCCACGTGACTTGCACATTGGTTGCGAGTCTCCGCATAATGACATCTGTGTTTCCAAACACTTCTAGTCGCCATGGGATACATAGTGTTTGGGACTTCAGGAATGTCTCTCGTTGATTCAACCATACTTGTCGGGCGTAATAAGGGAGTCGACAATGTCATGGAGGAAGAGCTTATCTTGCAGTGCTGGGACGATCGTACATTCACACCTCAGGATCAAAATTAGCTTAATGCAAGGCCGGAAAGAATCTTAACTGACCACCCAGTACGTTCTACATCATAGACAAGTTGAGGACATAAAGCGTTCAGTGCGCGAGAAGTGCACTCTTTGATAGAGTCCAAACAATCCTCAGATTTCTTGCAACAGAGGAAACATGTTATTGCAACTTGAAAGAACGTATGGCCTGGGAAGGGAGATTGCCGGAAGGCTGCGACTCCAGTTCTGAGTGATAGAGTATGGTATTCGACCTGTACTCTCAAAGCAACACTAGGGTACGAAGTTATCTCGAGAATCCTATCCATTTGAGCTCCGGTTTCAAGTGATGTGTTATTTGAAGGATATTGAAGTAGGACTGGATAAGCAGCTTGGAATATAATTGTGTCAGCACAGAACAGTGACTGATGCTTATCGCCAAAATTGTATGCCGCTTATTTTGCTCGCCCCAGGACAGGGGGCTATCCCACGGGACCCCCCCCTAGCCACTGTTCTATGGTCTGATTCGCCGCCAAGAGTAAGCGCATAATTTTGCTGTTAATGCCTAATCGCGTTTGTTGCCTGACTGGCCGTGCTTACCGTCTAATCACTTATGGTGTTTCCAATCGATCAATATTAGGCGATGGTGGGGATTTGCAGCCCGATCTAAAGGCCGTGTCTATCACAGTCGCGGCAGTGAGCCCACGTCGACTTGTCCTCTTCCCTAGGCCGATGAATCTTCCTGGAGATCTTTTCTTGTTTGAGTAAGCTCTCGAGCTGTGGAAATGGACTTTAATCGTCTGGATCTGGAGAGAAGGGATGGTTTGTCGCCTGACTGTCCGTGGGTGCAGACGAAGCCGCGGCATGCGAAGCTTCTTTTACATTTAAACTTCTCTCCTTTGAATTAGCTATTCCAATCGCTTTATCGCTCGGTCTTTTCCTGATGATGTCCTTCGGGGCGAGACGGTCCGTGGACCTAAATGAGGCCTCAATTTGGTAAAGCAGTCTTGGTTGACGGGAAACTGAAATGGGAGAGAGACCGGTAGGATGAGCTGGTGGTTCCCCCGTTATAGATACTGAGCTATAAATGTACGTCTGAGGATATAGCACGTAGTCTATAGTAGTAGATAGCGTCCTAGTGGTGTAGTCTTAGTCACGTTGCGTCCATTCTTTCGGTCGCCTCGATCGGTAGTGATTACCTAGCCTATTATTCGGTGGTCTCTCGAGGATCGAGATCCGTTATGTCGGAGCGGGAAAGAAAGGCTAGGCTACCGAAAAGTCTTCTCGTGGAGAGCATCGCACTTTATCCGGAAATATGTAGTATTCTCTTTTTGTAAGCATAAGCCCGAGTACCTACCAGACTACCTAAGCACTACATCAGTCCACATAAAGAAATTATGTTCTATACCTCCCCTATCTCGTCAATACGTTTTATCCTCCGTTAGCCATCGGGATAGCTCCTCCCTAGGATTTTAAGGAACTCTCCATAACCATTGGTGCGATGCACAACTTTGACGACGAAGACAAGATCCGTGGCGTTCGATTGTTTAGCGAAAATTCGATCCCTATCGTGAGGAATGTCTAGGACATATCGCTTAGTCTCATGACACCAGGCCAACGACGAGATCATCAAATACAGCCAGTTATCAACAGACGCAACTCAACCTTTCAAACTTATCGAAACTTGTGGAGACAGTTCTCCGCTGGTCCAGTTCGAAACATTTTCCAAGCTGTCAACAAACAGGCGCCCCTAGAAGATATGCTAAGGAATCTGAGAGCTCGGAATCTCTCTAGATTACAGAAATCTACTAGGAGGATAGCGATTACTCTTTTAGTCGAGGCAGATTCTTAGTACTTAATGAAGTCGCTTGAGGACTAACTTAGCGTAAGGTTCGCTGTCACTCTCTCATAAACTCCGATTAATCGCTCACCGTTAATGCGTTTATTAAATGATAACTGTTGAGGGAGGTCATGAAGGTGCTATTCCATTTTGTAGTCCGATGGTCTGCAACAGGTCTCCCTTCTATTAAGGGATTAAGTAATGAAACGATTCTGGTTGGCTGATCAACTCAAAACAATGTTGGGTCGTGCAACAAATCGTGAGCCTTGCCTGTTCTTTCCCTACCCCGAAGGTACAGTTCCTGGTGCCATCGCTGCCCACGTCCCGGACCACAATACACCCTGCGTAGCTTCCGCTTGAGCACTCATAACAAGCCTCCTCTGTCTGTGTGGACTTGATTTTGACAGTCCCGCCAATGTAGAGGACTGGAAATGGGAGCTCAACTTGTCTGGTTCGCTGGCTGCTGATGATACCGCGAAGAAGGAATCCAAGCAGTTCTTGGGTTATATCTCGAACATGCTGCTGAGTGGATCGGTTGGAGACTAGTGATTGGCTGCATGGTTTTCCGAAGAAGAATCGTGCTTTGGGAGCCACTGTTCGCCTCCTATTGGTGATCGTTGAACATATGCCACGATGATACCCACACTCCAAGAGCTCCAAAGCCGACAATAATGCACCAAGCAACCAGAAAGAGGACGATAGACCATTCAAATAGGGACATGTTTCTCAATGGAAGATGGCAGGGCTCCGACAAAGACTTGCGACCTTCTCAAACTTATATCCAAACCCCTCAATCTCGCGCATCGTCTCATCTCGAGCCTTTCCATTAATAGTATATGCAGTATGACGAACACTCCGAAGTCGCAAAGTGGCAATGATGTGAAATGGAATGGCAATGTGCAGAAACACCTTCATTGGATGAATTAATGGATGCACCCGACTTACGCTAGCAGAAACAGATGATGTGCGCGAATACCTTCACAAGACCTCACTCCTAACACCAAATTCGGCTCTTGGCCTTCCCCGACCCCAACAAAGTGTGGCAGTGGAGAACACCCATGCGCGCAATCTCTGAGCCAATTCCAAGCTGGGAGGCGGAACATCTCTAGGTACATGAGGACCAGGGATACGGGCGAGGGGTGAACGGGGTATCGACGGAATGAAAGGTGGAGGCGCCGCAAAGGGCCGAGACGCCCTCCTTGCCCAGAACCTTCAGGTATGGAGAATGGCGGTAGCGAAGGCGCGAGACATAGAAATGAAAGAAATCTAGTCCCATTTGTTTGATGTCAAATCACTTTGTGACAGCCACGATGACAGTGGGATCAGCTGAGCGATATCTGTCGTTTCATTGCTGACAATGATCTCCCTCGCCATGACCGTTGAGGACTTCTAATGATAGTCAAGAATATTCATTCGAAAATGGCCGAGAGATGCCATAGTGCTGAACACCAATCGGCTCCTTTAGAGCCGGTGAGGCTCTTCAAGGGAAGTCCTCGGGCAATGGCAGATTCAAAGCCAATATTGTCCGATTTATTTCGAGCGAAGATCTGAGCTCAATATGGCACCTCCTCTTGTAACGTCTATATTGTTCGCGCGACTCAAAAGAATGAACCGTGTTTTGTAGCCACTTCAGGTGATACAAATGTGCTGCTCGAAAGCCATGTTCTTATCAACAGTTCGAGAAAGGTGTAATGGTGATTAGACCCTTAGGACTATAATGTCGGCGATGACGACCCCGACCATGTAGTTGATTTCTTTTTGTCCTCGAGCTCGCAAGCGTTCTTCATTTCGTCTGATCGTCTCGACATATGGGGTTTCTTTTTGTAGGCTCCACAACAGTGCCGAAAGGAGCCAGCATCTGTAGGGCATTGCCAGTAGTTGGAGTGAAACGCTCCTCCGCAGAACTTACAGTCAGGTGGAGATGGCTCGGTGGACATTCGGCGAGTCCTGTTCTGAACGTACGCAATACTGATTTGAGAATATGCTAATGAAGAGAATGATAATTACTTTTGGACACGATACCGAGTGTCCACTGCAGTGGAGAGCGGAGAGTCACACGAAGGACAAGGGTCTGCAGGATAATTATTCCCACAAGTACTTCTGTTCCTTCTCTTCCATAGACGCTATCGACGAAAAAAACCGAGAGGGGGGTCGCTTGTTGCATGACTCATCTGGATTAGTTGGATATCATTTCATAAAGATCTGAGGGTCCAGGATATTTGTTGTGGTGATTGGGTGACAGGTGAGCAGCATGCTCCTGCGACAACTGCCAGCGGAACGGGCTATTGATGCTGACACCAAGGTCTGTATCCTGGAGGGTGGTTGTTCTCTCCCACCACTCGTTTTGCCGCTTTCTGACCCATGAGATACAGTTCTCACTTGATTCGCCATGCCGAATCAGAGTGCTGCGAACAATTGTTTCAATGCCACCGTGTTGCTGCTCACTCCATACTGTCGGGCATAGCCAAAAGCTGCTTAAAGATTGGTTAAGACCATGTCTGCTCTTGTGGAAGGCGGTTCGCTAAGCACGTCGATGTTCACCCCTTCTAGAAAGTAGCATTTTCCTTGAAATCGTATACTCATCCTCCGAGTAGTATGGCCGTAGCACAAGCAAAACTCGACGTCGGTCAATTTCTCAAGGACATTGACTGCGCATTCAAGATAAATTAGTACTACTCGGTTGCGGATGGTTTCTTTGATATGAGGAGAAAAGTCTTCTTAGTAGTGATGCAGTTGAAGAGTAAATTATGTGCCAAACAAGCCGATATAGACCATTTCACCACTCGACCTCAACAAGAGTTATCGTACATCAAGACCGCACGAAACAAACTATGGCAACAAAGCCACGAATTGAGGTAGTACTACCTTGCCTACCCCTTATATTTTGAATCGATATAAATATATTCTTTTAATAGTAACAGATCTCTTAGATACTTATCTAATACTTCTCAGAGGCTCCTCTAACACTTATTAATAATTATCAAGTGCTTAGATCGCCGAATTTCTCAAGAAATTATTGAAGAATTTAGTACAGAAACGAAAACAGGCTCCTTCGCATCCAAAACCGAGAGCTGGTAAACAATCTGGAAGTGGCGCGCGAGGAGTTAGAGAAGGTTCAGCATCTAAGATGCGACATTTATATGGACGGCTTCAAAAATGTAACGGTTTTATGTGGCCACAGCTTTTGCAGAGACTGCCTGATAATATGGCGGAGGCAACGGAGAGGTAGCCATTCTGCTACCGAGCCTGAAAAAGGCTGCCCCATATGCCGTCGGAGCGTCGAAGAGAGTGACTTAGCATTCGTGATGGTGGTGACAGCGTTTCGTCAGCCGTACTCGCGTCGCGTAGGACGGGCCTCCATTTGAGATGTGAGCGATTGTATCAACGAACGAATAAACCTGAGGCAGGGTCGAGTCGACGAGGCGGAAGTGGAAGTTTGGATTTCGCCACGTGCTTGGAGGTCATGCAAAGGAAGTCTCTCAGGCTTGCCCTTAATGCTGTAGTAATGATCACAGCACCAAGGAGTACTGGAATAACAGGGAAGGGAATTACGTGGAAAGGCGTATGCGCGACTCATATCCGATGAAAAAAACTTGCAGACTTTTCGAGTGAGAAGTCACATTGAAAGTCCTGTCCCTATTCGCCAGACTTGAATCCCGTTGAAGAGTGGTTTTCCCATTTCAAAGCCTTCGTCAAAAGGAATTTCCATCAGTACATAGGGATCCCGGGCCAGAGCACAGCCAACAACTAGTGGGCATGGCGCAGTAGATCTGCGGGTGCGCATCTGACTCCCTATCCAGAAGCCATACTTACCGTAGCGCAAGCGATCCGTACGTTGTAGATTTGCTTGTAGGGATATTGGTCGCTACGGGGCAGGAAGTGTGATGAGGTCTGACGCTGGGTCATGGCACCAACCAAGACCAGAGAAAGGGGTGAACAAGGTTGGTGCTTTCCCCTGGGGACCTTCCAGGCCCAGTCGAACTCGACAATGGTCCAGAAAAAGGGTAAAAATGAGAATAAATCAAATCATGACGTCTACTGACATAAGCCCCTGGAGCGCCCTCCAACCTTGGTATCACATCTCCGTAACTTTGCATCGTTTGAACAATTACCCTTATCCGCTCCTCCAGCCGGCCCACTCCGGGGGCGCTCCCAATCAATTCGCTCCTCCGGCAAGCCTATTCTCGTCTCATCTTGCTTTATCGTTTGAATGATGGCTTCATTCTGGCGGCTGTGCCTTCCGCGAGTCGCAAGAGCTGGGCTATCGCTGGTGCAAGCCTCTCTATATCGGTTGCGCCCCCGCCGACTTGGCAGGTGACCGCGCTACACCTTTGTCTTTTGACGGGTATCCGTCTCTTCTCCATCGACCCTCCTCGGCTTCGTCCACCTTTACATCAATATTCAGGACATGTTCGGTTGGTTTTTCTGCTCGTAACTATTGTCGTTAGGTCCATGCAGGTGACGTGTCAAACGCGACGGGCACGTTGCGGTGGTCGGCCCGCGTTGGATACGGTCGCAGTGTTTTCAAAAAGCTCTTGGAGTGTGGATGGTGGCCAGAGCCTCCTGGCTTGTGTTGATAAATTCTACTGCTGCCATCCCAACGGGGTGTCTCTTCTACGAGTCACGGATTACATCCCATCAATAGCGTTGCGCACATTTCGAGGAGGCAAGTCACGTGCAACTAGAAAATTGGCTTCCCGCCAAAACAACTTTCGACCTCATCATGCAAGATGTCTTCGCTCAAAGATGACTTCATTCAATCTGAAACTTATAATAGTCTGCCCTACATCCTCCAGAATGCAGAGGTCCAATTACCCTGCAAGTCTCCTACAAGGATTATTTTATATTGCAGTTGCAACATATAAGCGGTGGGCTGTGATTACCTCCACCTTCCCAGACATGAGCCACCAAGCTCGCGGGCTCGTATTCTGCAGCCGCCAATCTTGGGTAGGGTGCACTCAATTGGTTCTCTTGACGTGAGCCAACCTTGCCATTAGCAAACAAGATTCTGCTTCTCAATTTCTGGCTCAGCCGACCCGGCCAGATTTTGCGTGTAGGACCACGTCCTATCGAAGGCGTGGTAAGCTCGTTACTCCTATCCGGCGGTGGCTCCAGCCGAACTTCATTAATCATGGATGGGTCTGCCGCTGTAGTAGGCTGATGAATGAGCTCAAAATGTCTAATATATCTGCCACTTTGCGGCACAGAGGGATGGTAAGTGTAAAATTGCCACGAGACCTGGTCTGACGGCCAGTCGTAGATGGATCCGGAAGGGGTTTTACGACATTGGAGCCTGGAAACCCTCCTTCCACCGTGGACTTAAACTTCTCAAGACCAGGGTAGAAGAAATGCCTAGTAGATACCATCCATGCTAAGCTTTTAATTTCAAATCGTAAGCATATAAGCAAAACAGCTTTCTTGTTCACTTCTGTTCTGGAATCACTCCTCACATTCAAGAGCTCATCCCTATCACATTGCCAGTATGGAGTCGCATCATACAAATCAAGCACCAATCGATAAAGACCTAAAAGAATACGAGCCAGCATGAAAAATAGGCTCCGTCGAGGACCTCATATCTTTCATGTCAGAAGATGTTTCTTTCTCTGACTTCGCTCCATCACATTTTTCACCACAGTAATGCATACTGAATCCAGATAGGAGTTGGCGTACTCGACCTCGACAAAGCTGCCATGGGGGCCTATTTCGCCAAGGTTTTCGGTTCCGTTGACAACCTCAAAATAACGACGCATTCGATTTATGATCAGAAAACCTTTACTGCTTGGGAGGTAACGTTTAACTACGTGAAGCCCGTGGAGGAGGTGGCTCATGAGAAGGTAGGAGCCATAAGAGCGTGGCGAGATACGAATACAGACAAGAAATGGCTCCAGCTCCACCCGCATCAAGGGTGGTACGAAGACTATTATCATTCCTCCGTCCAGGATCTGGACCGTTTTTTCGTAAGGTATCTCAAGGGTGAAGAAAAGGGCTGGGAAGCAGCTCCAAAAGTGCGCGTCTCGCTGTACCGCTATGGAGATAAAGTATGTATATTGGTCTTAGTAGCGGAGATATGCTGATGCCGAGATCTTTAGTATCCTGTCTACGATCAGGTCGAGACCGACTATCCTATACCCCGGACTAAGTACACCAAACTATTTCTTACTCGAGACCATAAGTTGGCGGATAAACCTGACACGTCAGACGCGAGCCCGAAAGTCGTCGGGAGTGGCAACCTGTTCTTTTGTGAGAAAGCAGACTGCATCCTCATAAATCCTTTTAAGTAGAGTTCTGCCCCGTTCGCTAATCCTAGGGGGAAAGTCTTGGTGCAGGAAGAACTGGTAAGGGACTCAGACGCAAGGTATGAATCGGCAGTACAATGAGTTTTCTTAAATAGTGATGATGCCGACCAAAGTGTGACTACGACTAATCCTTTGTCTTTCTACTCAAAACACCACCTCCATCTCCATTAAGTACATCAATAAGCACTTGTTGAGCTTGACCGCCAGGACCAACACTGAATGTGACGGTTGTAGGGTGTTCTGGATGCTCAGCTGCGGGTCTCATGATGAAGACATCTCGGTCCCAATGCGTCAGCAGCAGCGATCTACCACCAATTTCCATGGTTAGGTTTTGATTGTCTGTTCCCTTAACCTGTACAATTCCCACATAGTCGTTGCTGTACGTCCCAGCGTACACATCAGACCCTTTCAATGGCGCAGAACCATGCACCGGCGTGACAGCAAAGCCGGGATCCATCGTTACAAATGCCTCATTGAGTTGCTCGTAGAGATCGTCCCAGAAGGATACCCAGTCCGTGGTCTCGCTCTGGTCTCCTTGATATACCCAGTCCATGAAAGTATACGCAATCCCATCTGGTGTACCTGTCGGCCAGCAATTACTCAACACAACTATTCCAATACCATCCGCGATATTCAGTCTCACATACGACCGCGTGCCAGACGTGAATGCACCAGCGTGTCCGATAAAGACGCGACCAGAGGGTTGATAGTCGATATTCCAGCCCAAGCCGTAGAATGCTGTTCGATTCGACGCAGGATCGAGACCGCGGTTGATCTGTGGTTGGTGAGTGTACAACAAAGCCTCGGAAGACACGATCTCTTCGCCGTTCCACGTTCCATTGCCGAGTTGAAGCCGCAGCCATTGTGCGAGGTCGATTACATTGGCTGCTACACCACCTGCGGGAGCTTGAGGATCGGGATTGCGCTCAGGAGCGACGATGTATGGCGCGCTGAAGTTGGTTCCATTCCCAGCACGGACGTGCAGCGATGCACGGTCGGACTCTCCCCGAAACTCATCGTTTTCTGAGGTGGTAGATGTCATGTTGCAACGTTCGTAGAAACGGGATGCAGCTTCCTCCCAAGAAAGCCCTGCAGCGGCAGCGGCTGCAACAGCGCCCATGGTGATGCCGTAGTTGCTATATTGATATGTAATCCTGAAAGAGCCTGTCGGTTGCAGGTACTTCATCCTTGACAAAATCTCCGAGCGGTTGTAGTTGAATGATTCTAGATCGTCGCCGGCGCCACCAAACAACCCACTGCGATGAGAAAAGAGGTCCTCGATAGTGACCTCCCGTGTGATCCAGGGGTCTGAGAGCTCGATCGTCGAGTCAAGCTCATTGGTTTTAGACGACCAGTCAAGATAGCCATTGCTAACAAGCTGTGCGACTATGGTCGAGCTGATTGGTTTTGAGAGAGATGCCAATTGATACACGGTCTCTGGTGTCGCTGACTCGTTACTTCCCACTTCCCGCACTCCGAAGGCGTTGGCGTAAATGATAGAGTCATTGTAGACGACCGCAGCGGCGATACTGGGGACCTCTGTGTCATTGAGCACAGACTGAATGAGATCATCGAGCCTGTCGACAGCTTGCTGCACATCCTGCTGCGAAACCGCTCCAACCAAGCAGGTTGGTAGCAAGAAGCCAGTAAGCAAGGAAAGCTGCATCGAAGCCAGCATGTTGTTGGCGCTAGAGTTGTGCGAGACATCATGCTCTTGAGCGCAGAGTGTCAGCTAAGTACACTGGCGGGTACCTCGTATTCTGTGAGTTGAAGCGAATGACAAGCATTTCAAGGGAGGGGTAGGGATTCCGTTATTGAACTCTAACCGAAAGCGGTCATTCGAAGCCAAGGTCGATTTTAGCCCTGACCCAGCTGAGAAGAAAGGCTCCGCAATTCAGGCCTAAGAAGAATCCCAAGTGGCCGAAAGTAAGAGAAATTGGAGAACATCTTCCTCGGTGAAAATTCCGCCCAGAAGGCAAGGGTGCGAGACGGATCCGTAAGATTTTGGTGGTCATGGCCTTGGCGCTCTCGTAAACACCACGAGATGTGCGCCGAACGGCATGTCGAACGAATTTCCAGGAGACATTTTCAGTAGGGTAGATATCGTCCGCTGATTTGATCATCTCATCACATTCGGATTGTTGGCCTTACTACAACCGTACAGTAGGAAAACCCTCATGGGCACCTACGAGTACCTTGGCCTTTCGCTGAGCGAATTGTCCAAAGAACTGCAAGCCGATACATTTGCGCCGCCTTCCATGAAATTGTTGATGAAGATGTACCGGCAGGGAATTATCACCCAAAATCGTAGCTGCACTTTTGAGCCGTGTACCATTCACTCACTACCGAGCATCTACCAAACGGTATGGACTCTTTGCCATTCAGCAGTACAACAAAACCATCTTCTACGTCGCGCCCTTTGAGCCATTGCCCTTTATCGTACGATCATAGCTTGCTGGATGTCTAGCTGTTTTGAAGTCATGTAAGCGATCATAAGTCTTTGGATCGACACTTGACCAGCGTTCCAGTCCTCCAATCGATTCTGTTGGTGTCGGTCCTCTAGCACTCGGAGGTCCCATGTGCACCCTAGATCTGCTAGGCTCTCTCAAATGACTTTTCCGTACTCGTTCAATCCTGTTTCGCGAGACGTAAAATTTCCCCATCCGATCTTGAAACTGCCCGAAGTGCCTCCAGGTAATGAGCTGGTTGTGAAATTCACAGTGAAAAGTATTTCCGTAAGAATGCCAGAACCAGAGGATATCCTTATACTCATCGTACTCTCCAGGATTGTTTCTGTGCGCTAAACCATATATTCAAAACTATGTCCCTTCAAGCTTATTATAACATAGGCTGCAGACCTACAAGCTAGAAGCACAGCCTTGGAAGCCCGGCATTTAGCATCCTAAAGAAGCCTGTTATTTGGCTTCGGGCTTCCAAAAGTGTGATGCTGTGTCCTTGTTGTTCATCTGGCCGAACCGGGCGTCGATGTGCCACCGTTGCTGAATCTAGCGTCAATATGAAAGGCTCGTACATTAGTATCCTTCCTTCGCACCAAATGATGTCACCAGGAGAGGAAGACCTTAGTGAGCTCGGACTCGCTCTGTCGCCTCCTTGTGAATGCTGCGCAAGGTGCGGCGTCCAAGGTGTTGCTATCGATGATCGTCAGGCAGCCTGTCAGGGAAAGCCTGGGGTGCTCGATCGAACATCCCAAGGGGACTGGCGCAACTCCTAAGTAAGTAGTAGGGCTGAGATAGTGATTCTTTTCCACTCCTTGTACTACAAAGTCCATTCAACCGTGACGTAAACTCCGACGCCCACTTGAAATTAAATCACGTATAGAAATTAAACCGAAACGCAAGGTCCGCATGCAAACCACTTTTATATCCTATAAAGTATGCTTTGTGCACCATTACCGCTCAGGCAGCTTACTTTATAACACCAGACCCGACCTCAGCACCTGTCCAAGAATGTGTTGTCGCGCTGTTGCCATTGGGGAGTTACGGCTGCACAAGTTTAAACTTTGCGATCTGTCACAAATGCACATGGTGTCAAACTTCGTGATCTGCCCACTATGCAAGGAGCTGTGTTGGCTGTGGTACCATCCGATCATCAAACAATGGTGACCCTGCTTGGCACGATCTATTAGCTAGACCAACATGGTTGATACAACGTCTCATGCTCGCATTCGAGCATGAAAGCACCCTCTGGTTTCTTTATTTGACTCCATCGCCTCTCCCAGTTAAAGAAGAAGTATGTTCTACTATTTGTGTTCCACAATGTATCACCATTTCGACAATGATGTGGTTTCTCACATCAGTAAGGACGTGTCACTTATGCAGCCACCCGAGGCTCTGTGCCACCTATGCAAGGAGGTTTGAATTCATTGAAGTTGACCTGTTCTTTTCGGATGAGGTATGTGCTTCATAAGTACTGCCCATTTTCCAGGTGTCAATGTCTTCCTCACTCTCGAGATTTTCCTGCGCCCTACTGATGCCGTCTGATCTTGACCTCCAGTCTTCATACTTCGGGTTTGTCGACACTCACGACGATGCCAAGATGCTGATCCAGGCATGCGTCCAAGGCAGTCTGCAAGTGGTCAAAAGACGACCTACCTCTTCAGAACGACCTTCTGTCGCACAAAGCGGACACGTCTTCATGTACGAGAAAAAAGCATCCGGCATTCATCGCTGGACCGATGGACGGCACTGGAGCCCCAGTCGCGTCTTGCGTGAATTTCTCATCTATGCAGAGCGATCAGCTTCACCAAATCAATCACATACCACGGAAACTGACAAAGCACCTCTGCTGGTGAAGGATGGCTCGGAAGATGGGCACCAACGGCTGTCTGGCCCATTGACGATATCTTCGCACTTCGACCCCAAAAGCCTGGTCAAGAAAACCATCACTGTCAAAAGCAATGACGGCTCTGGCGCAATTTGGCACTTGGTGTCTTACTACCGGCCTGTTGATGTTCTACAAGGCCGGTTGCAAACCCCAAAGATGAACCAAGACTTCATTCTGCAACCGCGGCACCTACCAAGAAATCCAATACCGTACGGAAACTCGTACAACGGCCACCAAGCTGGGGGAAGCAGCTTATCACCAACGGCACACCTCTGGGACAGTTCCATTATACTCAACTAGACTGGCCCATGGTGAAAGAGTCTGACCGTTATCACATCGATTCCCACCAGGATCCGTTTTCAGAACTTGTGATTTTCGATAACGCTGCCCTGCCTTGGTCAATTGATGGCCCGTTGGATCCAAGTCTGTTCCGGTATGGCATATGCGGTGCTGACGGCAGTTTTATCTGGTAGCGCCTCAATCCAGACCGCTGTGGCCAAGATACGATATGCGAAAGGCAAAAGAGAGGCATAGACAGCGTTGGAATTGAGGTGGAGGGGTCCCAGAGGAGGGCATGGCTCGATGCTGAAGGTCCCAGCAAAGGTTCAGATGACGGTCAAGCCAATCAATAATCAGAACCAATTCGTCATTTGAGAACCGAGCCTGATGTGGAATACATGCTGACGGGGCTTCGGGATCGCATATGCCGTATCGGTCAAAGGTTGCAGAAGGGACCTAGGAGGGCTAGAAACAGGGGCCCTCAAGGCATGACAGTTGACGGAGCCAAAAACGGGGAATCGTCATCAACTCCTTTTTTTGCCCAGCGCTATATTTAGACATGGGACGGTGCATAATAGCTCCTAAGTTTCGTGGTTGAGGGCGCTTGGTGTTCGCCTTATAGAGTTTCTGATCATTGATGTTGGAAAATTGAAGTCGACCGCCATGAAAGGTCAACCATATTTCGCTAGCGGCATATCAGCAAATGGGTGTCGACCGTCATCAACGATCGTCGTCGTGTTCTCAAGCAATAGTCACTTGGCAACAACGTAGGACACGTTCTAGGTGCAGAAAGCGGAGCATGATTACGTTTCGCTCCTCAAAAGGACGTGAGTGGCGACGGCGCAGATCGAGCTCAACCGGAGCTCCTGCGAAGCCATTCGATGGAGTAAGGATACGACACTGCGCGAAGGCGCGGCAGAGAAGAAGGGAAGGGAATGAGCATCGCGGCTCACTGGTGGCCATTCATTGCAGCCTCCCAAAGTATCACAGACCAGCCATGATAAGACGAGCCGGCTAACAGGATGCCGCGACGAAACAAAATGCATAACGGGCCACGAGAAGGAGAAAAGGGGCACGAGCAGTTCGGCTCGACTATTAATAACAGCTATCACACTTGAGAATGTCAACGCAAGCTCGGCTAAATGTACGGATATCACGAAAGGAGCGAAAAATCACAAGCAAAGGATACGAAGCCCCTGCATCAACCTGGATCCAACTTTAGGTTTCACAGCCGGGACGGAGTTTCTGTCAACTTATCCGCATAAGGTCAACGAAGTGGCTTCCTAACTCTCCAGCTGAAAGGCGCCTCTTCAATATTCACGAAAGAGAGGTAGGACATAGGTTCCGGCGTTGAACTGACCTTGTTTGTAGTGCAATATAGTACCAACTAGAGTTAGCAAATGCACTTTTAGACCCACTGGAACGGTAACCAATGTCAAACTCAGCAGGGCCCTAACATTATAAATCATTAGCCTATCATGGCTTTGTGGCGACACAATTCTTTCAAACCAATCGGCCAATCGTGTTTGTGTAGTGACACAATTCTGCCAAGCTATCGTCCTTTTAATTCCTCTCTTTGTAGCCGAGTGCGCTAATGCAGATCGCCCATTGTTAACATCAACTTCTCACCGAAACCTCACCAATTGTTTTGGTTGGCAGGTCCAGGTCCGATCTCGTGCTGGCCCGATGCATAGCCACACCGGGTCACTGTCAACTGTGTGAAGGCTCGAAGGCTGCCTGCAGGTCTCCGGGCAACACGGACTCATGGACAAGCTGGAACAATCCAGCGAGGCATGAGATGGGGGAAGACACAAACCAATGGGGTGTCTTGTACCATCCCATGTGTGTGTCATTTAGGTGTTTCTGGTCATTACAATAGATTACCTTTCTGACCTTATTTCATATTTAAACATTTATATAGCAATCTTCCCCCTCCTTCAAATACTAATCAGAGTTTCCCGCAATCTGGGGCTTGCTGTCGACAAACTGATTTGTGAGTGCCAGAGAAGTTCCAGCTGGGCAAGCGTCATGATGTCTCCAGAAATGCAGTCTCTAGCACAATTCCTCTTTCCGGCGCGCCTTCATCTCGACGCACAGCAACTGAGCATGCTGCGGGTATCGTTGGCAGATCTTCTGCGACGCGCTCTGGACTTACGCCAGCAAGTCAATGTCCTCAAGCAACAAGGGTCCAGGCCGTATGAGAACGTGTCGACTCAAGCGAGGATCACATTGTTAGAGAATGAAGTACGATGGGTCGTCCGACATATTCAGATAGTTATTCTCTGCGTGACTGGCGCGAATTGGGGCTTGTACAAATGTTAAAAATGGAGAGTACAATTTTGTCCCTGGTTTTGTCCGACCTGACAAACAATACAAGCTTGTGGCGTGGCTGGAATACGCGGTTAGCAGGCAAGGCGCGTAGTATGGGATGTTGCTCAGAGAGTAACCGAGTTGCGAAAACATTTACGCCTAAGACCAAAAAAGCCCTGGGAAGGCCCTCGACTCGTGGGTAAAAGGGTCCCTCTATCGATTGATTTAGCCTGGCGCTGAAGAAGGCCATCATCCTCTCCACCTTGGTCAGACTTGCAGACAAGAAATTGATGGCCATCATACATCTGCAATCCAGCCTCGGGCCCTGTCTGGGCTCCAAGTCCAAGGAAGTCAACATTGCGGCAGAGCTTGAAATGAAATGCACACTCGTAGCAGAGCATTTCGGCAGACTTTGCGCAGCTGAGCAGTCGCTTTACAAAGAGCGGCACATGCTACGTGGTCTGTCCATGTGCGTTCTACAGATCTCTGGCCCAGATAGTCCGTGAAGCGTGCCAGCACAGTGGTCAGCATTCGCGGCTCGATAATCCGGGAATGGAAATCATGCCAGGAGCCGGCATTGGGAATTTGTCCAGCAAACGGCGGTTGGATTGGCGAGGAGTGTACCCGGGTAAAAAGGGTTCACCAGGTTTGGCTTCATTACGGATGTACCCACCGCATTCACTTTGCTCCCTATTAAATCCACCTCAGGCTTCATGGCAAAGATGCAATATGTCATCTCATCCATATGAGGCCAATAAAGTGGCGGCCTAAGTTTCTAGCTGAAAGCGCTTCTTCAGCATTCACGGAAGAGAGGCAGAATAATAGGTGCTGGCGTTGATTGACCTTGCAGTGCAATATGGCACCGTCACAGTCGGCCAAAATCAACAAGCACTTAGGAGCGGCTGGGTCGTGACCGACACGACCATCAAGCAGGGCCCTGATGTTGTACAACCCGCCTGTCATGTTTCTTTAGTCGCACAATTTTCAAACTAACCGGACAAAGTAAGCGACGCCCCGCAGGTGGTCTTGCGGAACATCGTAGGTTAGTTTACGGGTTGGATACAAGATGGTAAACTTGACTCCTGTGTCGCAAGATCTGCGAGATGGCAACGTCAATTACGTACAAACACCTAGAAGTTCAGGCAGCCACCCCGATTAGAATTCCCTGAAACGAGGACACAATATCATAATCCGGCTATGCAATGCGGTCGGCGATCGTTCGTCGCGTTTCCGGAATCAACAATTCCTCCTTCTTTGCATCCGTCCAATCGAATTAAACATTACAGCCGGTAAAAGTTGAAGTTGTATAAGCGAGGATCAAAAGGTCCAAAGTGTAGTAAACTGGAACTAAGACAATCGCGTGACGGTGATCCTGGAATTTGCTGGGCGTGTGCGTATGATCGGAGCATGAAGGCGTTCGTTTCTCCCGGAAAAGCCATCTGCTGGAATATGGGTCTCAATTTGCTCCATGCAGACTTGCCGTTTACAGTCTCTAGGCTAGGCAAACCAGAAACAGACAAAGTCATCTCATTTCAAATCCAGCATGTCCCACGCAGCTGTACGACAGGAGGGGTCTTTACCGTTTCCAGGTCGGACATGTTCATCAGACCCCAGACTTCGCTTGATGGGCAGTTCTATGTAAGGTTTGGGCGAGAAAACGGCAGAAACACGGCCAGTAGAACCCTTGCATTCTCACCTCCATTGGAAGGCATAGAGGCTCGCTAAAGTCTCCATATCAAGGTGGATGGCGACGCGGCTGAATACGAGGAGCTGGAAAAGACGTGTCCGACTACCTCTGCGTCGTTACTTTTCACCCGCATATCTAAGGAAAGGATGCGGAGTAATGGCAACCTCTCAGCAAACCATGACGAGCCGGAGGTGTCTCGTGTGTATATAAGAGCAGTCCTTTCACAACCGTGATCATTTAGCACCACCATCGTTCCTTGTATTCTCCTCCATCGCGAGTTCGTACAACTTCCAGCTAAAACATTCAGTCCACAGACTATCCACCCTAACCTAAAGCCACCCCAGACATCATGAAGCTCAGTTTGGGAGTTGTTGGCGGCCTTCTTCTCGGTTTGGCCGTTGCATCACCTCAGCCCCGTGCTGAACCAGGGAACCTGCGCGGTCTGTTTACTACCTCAGCATATTTCTAACCAGCTAACATCAATAGCTCGAGGAGTCGTCGAATGCAGCAGTTGCCCGGACCATAGTAGCTGCTCCAGTTGCTCCGACCAAAGTGTTTGTGTGAAGAACCCATGTAAATGGAATCTGGGATATTGTAAGGATGTTGGACCTGGCAATGGCGGCGACCGTTGTGACAAAGCGGAAGACAAGTGCAAAAAGAACCCGAACTGTGTGTGGGTTGATCCCTGCTGCACCCAGAAGTGATAGACAGATGCAAGGCAATCGGGCACAACAATTGCCTAGGTTCATGCTTGTCGACGCAAACCAGCCTGACAAGAGGAGATCGTTAGTATTAGCGATATGGATGGCATTATTTTGACGTAGCATTTATTTGGTTCATGCCTGGTGAAACCGAGGAAAATGTATGACATTGAATGTTGAACTGAATCAGACCCGATTAGCAGTTTTGGTCAAAATGTATCTGCCCTTCCGCCCAACTGGAATCTTTCCTCTTAGTACGCGATTTATCTTGAGCCTTACTTCCGCAAAGCTTGACCAAATTAGGAAAGCAGAATTAACCATCGCACGCCAGACTGTGAAAGTTAGTTAGTACTCCGTAGTCAATAACCTTACTGCTTACACTATTAAGCAGTTTCTGAGCATAACTACCCCGGCGGAGCTATGGCACGTGACTTCGCAGGTTTACCCTGCTTCTATAATGCTGTTGGAGGGTTCACGTGACTTGCACCCTCGGCCCGGGTGCCGTGTCTCTTGATATGAGACGGAGCTAGGGACTGTCGGAAAGGGGCGACCACACCGCAAAATGGTCAAGAAAAGAAGGAAAAGGATTGCAGAATGTTGGGCGAATTGCTTTCCACCAAACATGAGCTACATTCAGGTGCAGATCTTAGTTAGACCCACACTAGGGTTTGTGCCTCGGCCTGCATTGCGAGTCTTGCGAGCGCCGACTGCTGGTGAAAACATACCCGCAACGTTTATGGCATAGGGGTCTTGTATCTACGCCCAGTTTATGATTGTGCACTAGCGCACGGCGGCGAGTGATACCCTGGATCTACAGGGCGTGCGGGAAGACCAGCCGGTGTGACAGGCCCAGCAGGAGCCGTGACGTATCTGTTCTTACATTTACTCTGAACTAATCAGAATCGGAACTCTAGTTGCCGTTTTAGGGGTAAATTGGCCAAGTTCGCCGACCAACATCAGCTGGATTTCCGAACAGTTAGACCCACAGATTTAGAAACGGTGGTGCGACAGAATACTGAACATCGCTTACTAAATGGTTAATAGTATACAAGATCTCCTTGGACAAGATTGAGGCGGATAAGTAAGGCCGTCAGTCGCCACATTGTGACTCGAGAATTGCTCTATAATGTGGCCATAATTACGCGTTGAGTGAGGATTTGAGAACCCTACCCGGGTCGAGCGGATGATGAAACACGCTCATTGGCTGGCCAAGCACTATACCTTTCACTGTTCGATAAACATAGCGCTTGCGGGGACGTATCTCCGGGGCGCTTAGGTGTACCGCCTAGCTTGAGAAGCGTCTCATAGTATCCAGCATTTACCGTCAAAGATTTAAATCGAAGTAATCGATGTATAGCTATATATACTCGCAATCTTCTGAGTTCGGTTTTATTCCTCGACATTCTTGACATCTCAGTATGGATACTACAATCCCCTTTAGCTCAAAATGTATTCCGGTTCGAGGCTTATTTACAGCTTCCTCCCACAGATCATCTCCTTATTTTTTTGCTTTCCTGAAGTGACCATCTGTGGACCTCTCCCTCTTCCGGGCACTTACCGGAACGATTCCTGCCACATCATACTCAATCTCCTGCGCCTGCCGTGGGAATCGACAAAAGAGTGGAACCGAGAACGAAGATTGGGCTACCAACATTGAACTCATGGCTGGGACGCAATTCCTAGGACTCTTCTTGCAACCAGATGGACAGGTTCACGACTTGAATGACGTTACATGTTTGCTCCTGCCTTCTTACACTGAAGGTCCGTGCAATGGGGTCAGTGTCTCTTCGATCGGAGTTGCGACTGGGTATGGACCGTGCACATTCTACGGCTTGGATGGAGCAATTATGGCCGTTCCGGGGGAAGGGGAAGGATGGGTATATGTCGCACCGCCACAGAATATGATGCAAGCTGTCTGTGGCTGAGAAAATAGGGGACGAAGGCATTCACGCATCGCCACAGAGCTGGATTGTCCCCGGTCACGACTATTCACAACCGGGCTGAAGTCGAGATTTTGGGAAGAAGATGCTTATAAGGAAAGGACGTGCTTGTTTTTTGGCATTCCGAAGCCGTAGCCGAATGACCGGAGGTTGGAGAGCTGATCGTATTCTTTTAGATGATATTCGCTGGGGAAATTGAAGGGCGCAAGGCTTTCCCGCCAATCGTTTTAGCGCTTTTTGACATATACAGTTCCAACTTCGTTCACCCTGTTGAACCAAAGTGCTCCGAACAGTTGTTTTAATGCCACCAGTCGGAAGTCAGCAGCTAGACATGAAGCACCTGAGATAGTCCTGTGGAAGTGAAGGGTATTGCGGACGTTACGGTCTTAGACCCGATTCACAACAATCGCAGTCTAGACGGATAGTTTACTCGTCATTCGTAGAAGCGGAATTTTCTCTCAGCCCAGACGAGTCTCTGCCATGCCTGTGTGATAGTGGTCAGTTGAGAGGGTGAGTATGAAGGCAAGCATCACGTAGGCTTTTGAACAAGGTAGAGAGATGAAAGTGGCTGGGGACCATGATCGACCCTGAAAGCATCCTATCCCGCCACGGAACGCTCTACAGCTAGGTGCGGCAGCCTAGGTTGGGGGCGTTGTTGATCCATGCTACAGAACCAGGCCTATAAAATCACCCACTCCCTTGGTCGCTCCAGAAACCCTTTCTTTTCTTCGTATTATCTTGGTTCGTCGCCTCGGTAAGACAGCAACATGGCACGCCACAAGCAAAAGGTCACTCCCCAATCTTATTTATCTTCCTTATCTTCCTTTTTGCTGGATTCTCTCTAATCCATTTTTAGGTTCCACGTGCAGTTGCACGACCTTCTGGCAAGCAACCTCGTACGGTCCTCCATGCGAAGGCTGAGCGTATATCAGGAAAGAGACTTCCTCAAGTGGGAGGCGGTAAGCGTCGATGTCCAGCACGGTTACCTCAGTTAACAAACCACGCAGTCAAAAGATCCCGTCGATATAGGCCAGGTACCGTTGCGCTCCGGGAGATCCGACGCTATCAGGTACTCTTATTTTCCTA